TCTCTCCAGCCCTGACAACTCTTGTCTTATTGAGATGATGATCACAGTATCACTTTGATAACGAATGACAGTGGGGTTTGCACAGTTGTGGCATAAGCAGAAGGACCTTTCTATCATAAGACACCCGTTTTAAGCATACTACCACAAGGCCTAATACACATTTATTTAACACTTGCTTCATCCCAGACCCAGAGTTTTACTGGATGCATTCTACCATTTAGATACATTTAAAGAGACATCTTAATTTAATCCCTCAATTTACCTCTGAGCTAGGTATTAGCATCTATTTTATGATATATGGGGAAAAGCAAATAGTTGGATTACTTAAGGAATTTTTTAAGGTCCCATAATAGTCATATAGGTTTCAAATTGAGGTCACTTTAGTTCAAAAGCCCATCCATACCACAAGGCTCCACACATCAGGTGGCAGATATTGACCATGCAGTGCATGGTTTCTGATTTGCTTGTGTGTGTGTGTGTGTGTGTGTGTGTGTGTGTGTGTGTGTGTAACTGGGGATGTGTGTGACTGGGGACTGAACCCAGGGCCTTGCATGTATTAGGTAAGTACACTACCACTAAGTTATATTCTCAGCTCTTTTTTTATTTTTTTAAAATTTGAAACAGGTCTCACTAAATTGCCTGGATTGGCCTTGAACCCACTGTGTATCCCAGGCAGGCCTTGAACTTGCAGTCCTCCTGCCTCAGCCTCCTGATAGTGAGGGTTACAGGCCTTGTCACCACTTCTATATTGAAGTCTTAGAGGAAACTTAGGACAACTTAGTTGAAGGAGTTTAACAAGAAGTTTATTATTATTATTATTATTATTATTATTATTATTGTGTGAGTGTGTGTACACACACATATGCTCTTCTGCAACAGTACAAGCTTGGAGGTTGGAGGACAACTTTGTGGGGTTAGTTTTCTTCCATCTTTTTATATGTAAGTTTTGTTTTTGTTTTTTGGACAAGGGCTCCCTGTAGCCCCAGATTGCCTGGAACTCACTATGTAGACCAGGCTGGCCTCAATCTCACAGAGCCCGCTGCCTCTGCCTCCTGAGTGCTGGGATTAAAGGTGTGTACCACCACACCTGGCTCTTCTACCTTTAAATAAAAAAAAAAAAACCCTTTTTAATTTTATGAGTATGAGTATTTTGCTTATACGTAAGTGCAGTAGTATGTGCAATGCCTGCAGAGGCCAGAAGAGGGTGTTGGATCCCCTGGACTGAAGCTATGATGGTTGCTAACCACGATGTGGCTGTTATGAACCAAACCTGGGTCCTCTGCAAGAGCAGTCATTGCTCCTAACTGCTGAACCACCTCTCCAGCCGCTCTCCTTCCACCTTTCTGTTTTGTTTTGTTTTTTGAGACAAGGTCTCCCTGTAGCCCCTTCTGTCCTGGAACTATGTAGACCAGTATGGCCTTGAACTCACAGAGATCAGCCTGCCTCTGCCTCCTGAGTGCTGAGACTAAAGGTGTGCGCCCCCACACCTGGCTCTCCTTCCACCTTTATGTGGGTTCTGGGGATTGAACCCAGGTTTCGAGTCTTGAGCAGCAAGTGCCTTTATCTACTGGCCCAGCTGAAGAATTTAATGATAATTATACATTATATTTCATGGCACAAAATTAGGAGTCAAGCCACTCACATGAAGTGCAGTAACTAGCGTGAATTTAGGGAGCTGTTCTCATCAGGGTAAGCTAATGCTGAGGTAACAAACGGCTCATTGTGTCTGTGCTTTCACACAACAGAATTTATTACTGACATTCACTCCTGGCTGGCAAGGGTATATGCTCATTTTAGGCTCCAGGCTAACCCTGCCCATGTTTTTCTATGATTGCTGAGGGCAGAGAAGCAAACATCACATACTAGTTCTTAAGATGTTTTTCCAGAAGTGACACACCGCACTTCCATTCACATTTCTTTGGCCAAAGTAGCTACACTTTGAGGGGCTAGGGAAGTGCATATGACCCTGTGGCTGGGAGGAAGTGAGCTGAAAGGTTTGGAGTCCAGTAGAAACTCCTTCCTGACCTCTACCACATCACTCATCTCCTCTCTGCCCTTATAGCCTTATCTTTTCCAGAATGTAATATAAATGAATCAGTGTGCAGCCTTTTATATCTAGCTTTGTTTCCCTTCAGTTAGTATAATGCTTTTGAGACTCAGCCGTGTGTCTGCACCTTTGCTTGCTACAGAACTTTGTTTCTCTTAATTGCTTAGTGATACTCAATTGCATAGTTGTTCCACAATTCCACAGGTGATGGACCACTACAGGAATGGCCAACCTTTTGACACTGGAATATGATGTCATCTACAAATGTGCTGGGCCACATTTGTATCCTGGGATGCATGTGGCCCTTGGACTGCAGGTTGGACATGCCTGGTAGCCTCTCTCTCTGTATCTGTCTCTCTCTTAAAGTCTTATTAGACAGATCATACTATGTAGCTCAGGCTGGCCTTGAGCTTGTTATGATCCTTCTGCCTCAGCATCCTGTGTGCTGGGATTATATATATGAGCCACTATACCCAGATCATGACCTTTAATTTTTATGTATTTAGTCATATGATTTGCCAACCCACTAACCCATTCTTTGCTTTAGTAAATGCTGATTAGGTGTGGGACAGGCACCAAGCATGGAATGTTTGACTAGACAGTACTAGTTTCAGTCCGCACAGTTAGGATTCTGAGCTCATTAATCCCTTCATGTTGAGGGGAGCTGAAGCCTTCAGTCTAAGAGTCTAAAAACACTTTGAGATCTTTCTTTCTTGTCAAACCAAACCCTGGGGCAGAGGCTCAGCCAGGTCAGAGGCATAAGTGGACAAGCATGCAGTCTGGTCAATGTAGGAGCAGAAGCCTCTCATTTTAACTTCCCAAAGTTATCAGGAACCAACTTTATTTACAGAAGCTAAGATATGGAAATTACCTAAGTGCTCACTGACACATGGAAAAAGAAATTACTATTGATGTGTTCAATGGATGTTATTCAACATTAAAAAGGAGTGGGATGTGACCCTGCTATTTGAGATAGAATAGAACCAGGAGAACAATATATTAAGTTGACAGAAAGACCAATATTGCATGATCTCACTTCCAACCATGCACTACTGTGTACTGTATTCATTGTTATCATGGCATACCCAAGGCTGTATGCGCAACACTGAAAAGAAGCTGCCAGCATGGTGGCCTCAGTCTATAACCTCAGAACGCAGGAAACTGAGGCAGGAGGGTTCCGAGTTCAAGGCCAGCCCTGGGCTACATGGAAAGCTCCTATCTCAAAAAGTGAAAAAGAGGAAGAGGGAAAGAGAGGGTGAGAGGAAAAGGGGAAAGAAAGAGGGGAAAGGAGAGAGAGAGGGGGAGAGAGAGAGGAGGGAGAGAGAGAGAGAGAGAGAGAGAGAGAGAGAGAGAGAGAGAGAGACTGAGATCACATCATGGCAGACGAGTCCACGTGAGAAAGGGATCACAAGCCAAAAGTAAAAGGCAAAGATAAAGATACTAGGGTCCCACAATCCCTCTGTAGGCACAACTCCAACTGACCTAAGGCTCATCACTAGGCTCCACTTACTGAAGGCCCTGCCATCTCCCAACACTGCCATGAGAAGCAAGCCTACAATATGAATCTTTGGAGGATGAGTAGATCCAACTTCAGTCACGTAGAGTCTGAAAGAAGTCACATACATAGAGACAGAGAAGAGAAGGGGAACGGGCAACAGAGAGAAGGTTAAGGGGTAACTACAGATCTAAAGTATTATGGGCACTATAGTTAATATTGTATTAAATGTTAAGTGTCTGTTAAGAGATTTTATATGTTACTACACACACACAGGAACAATGTGAGATGATAAATTAATCTGCTTGTCTATGTAGTAACCATTTCCTATGTATAGCAAACATCATATTGCATATCTTAAATACATACAATTAAAAAATAATTATAAGTGGAGTAGAGATCTACAACTGGTATGGTTTTAGTGTCTGGCTGAGCAGGAACAGGAAAGGGGTCATCAGTGGGTCCCTGTTAAAGTGTCTGGCAGAGCAGGAACAGGAAAGGAGTCATCAGTGGGTCCCTGTTAAGATCTCAGTTGGGGACTCTTGCCTAGAGGCTGAGCAGAGGGAGGGGTTGGATGGGAAAATCTGTTGGTCATCTGGGTACAGGAACACTTGATGAGTCACAGCCCTGATCTAACCTGACAAGATGTCCTCATACCCTAAGTTGAGGTTATGGGCCTCTCCTAGTGCCAAAGTTTTTTTTTTCTTTCATAAAGTGTATGAGAGGCCCCTATAGCCCCTGCTGGAATTCACAATGTAGACCAGGCTGGCCTTGAACTCACAGAGATCAGCCTGCCTCTGCCTTCTGAGTGTGGGATTAAAGGCATAAGCCACATGCCCAGCCTTTGGCTACCTTACGTGAAAGTTCTGCATTCTAGTTGTTAAATTCCATAGATTCTCTCCAAATGAGTACTTACTGTTCCTTCTTCAAGTCACGAGGAATTGGCATTGGGTTATAGTGGAAGCATTCGGGAACACACTTCCAGTGTCTAACTTGGATACTGCGTTCTCCAATTTGGAGAGCAGGTATTATATCTGAGTTAGGCCTTCTCTCACTTAGGTATGTCCATCCATCTATCCATCCATCCCCCCACCCATTCATCTACCTATCCATCCATCCATCCCACCCATCCCATCCATTCACTCATCCATCCACTCACCCATCCATCCATCCACTCATCCATCCATCCATCCACCCATACATACATCCACTCACCCATCCACTCACCCACCCATCCATTCACTCATCCACCTACCCACCCATCCATTCACCTACCTACCCACCCACCCATCCACCCATCCACCCATCCATCATTTCCAGGCACTGTGACTAGAGAAGTGAGTCACTGCTCCTATTTGCCATGCAGGAGTCCACTATACACTTCAGCTATTTAAATGGTATGCTCGTAAAAAATTATTTCTCACACATTCATTTGCTTGCTATTAAAAGAAAAAACAATGGAAACGATATTAACTTTATTGCATCATTTTTTGCTGACTAGAACGCCAGACTAATAGTGGATATAGTATAAAAATAACCGAATTCTTACAAATAGTATTTTGCTGCTACAGTACTGAATAATTAGTGGAGGTGGCAATTATAATACAACTTTAAATAACATTCTCATAATGGGTTTAACACAGTCAACCTGGGTCTAGGGTTTAAGGGTATACAAAGCAAAATCCAGGACAGTGTGAGCATGCAGCTGCATGCTCCATTTAACCGTAAGTCCAGTAACACACACATTACCAAAACTCAGAGCAACTCATAATTAAGCAGTCATTTTTCTCTGTAGAAGGCTGAATGCTAAGTGGGTAGTTCAGTTCCCTTGACAAACTGGTCCCATTCACCCCATCTTATTCCAGCCTCCCTACCAGAGAACTCAGGACAAGTGCATCAAACACATCCTTAAAAACTATAGCAGAATCAATCAGGCCACTCTTTTGAAATGTCTTCTTTGAAAATGCCCATAGGACAGATGCCCAGGACCTGCCTCTTTATTTTAGGACTTCAAGGGTACCCTTTGAGTCCAAGTTGACTGGCATTTACTGCTTGACTGTTTCTACTGTTGTCAACAGTTTTCTTCCTCGGGATTTAAAAAAGGAAAAAAAAAATCCAAAAAACAAAAAACCTATACCTAAAGACAAACTACAAAACCACATGTGTCTCCAAAAATGCAGATGAGAACCTTAGAACAGCACAAATAAATGAAAAGCTGGGGTGTGGTGCCGCTCTGCGGCAGCTTATTTGCCTGGCACATACGTGCAAGGCCCTGGGTTTCCTTCCCAGCCCCGCCTTCCCAAAAAAGACAGACAGAAAAAGAGAGATGAAATGTCCCTTTACCCAGACTAAAGCTTTTAGATACAAGAAAATATCTCTGATATTAAGGGCAGTTTTAATTAAAATACTGAAATACCAAACCTTGTGTTGTTCTTTCCAAAGAAGTATTCTGGTCTCAAAATCAACATATAATTTAGAAGTATGGGTCACACCCCTAGTTGTGCACTTAGCCAAGGGCAACTTGGCTGTACAGCTCTCCTGCTTTAGGCAAGGTCCCAGTTACAGGGACCTGGACACCACTACTGGGCGAGGACGCTGAATGAAGCACCCAAAGTCACGTGATCTTAAGGTGCCCACTCTGGAGGTTCACAACTGAACAGGGAGCATCTTCAAAGACTTTATTCCTGGCGGCCACCCAGTCTCATATTCTGAAGATGCTGCCCTCTCTGATGAGCCAACCTTTACGAGTTTCTCAAGAACTCAATGGTCACATCTTAGTTTTTGACCCCCAATGAGATTGCACCCACTATGCAGTAGTTCTGGCTCTAAATGACTTAGTGACTTCTGAAAATAACCTCCCCACTAAGACTTATCAGCATTCCAGACATTCAACTCTGCTCCCAGCTCTGACAGGTTCACAAGCCATGGCCTCACTCTGGGAAGAAGAAGCCCTCAAATGGGTAAGTTCAGTCATGCTTGTCAAAACCCACCTAGACCACCCCCCTTTCACTTGTGACAGCCTAAGTCACGTACCAATATGCTTCCTGCCAACCACAAGTCTGCCACTACTTTCATTTTCGAGATAGGATCTCATGTATCCCAGGCTGGCCTTGAACCATGCAGCCAGGATGACTGTGAACTCCTGATCCTCCTGCCTCCACCTCCTGAGTGCTGGGGTTACAGGAGTGTGCCACTATGCTCAGTTTATGTGGTGCTGGGGATCAAACCCAGGGCTTTGTGTATGCTAGACAAGTGCTCTATCAACTGAGCTACATCCCCAGTCCCCTCTCTGGACTCTCATAGCCAACTATCTAGGGTGCTGTGAGGTTAAGTACCTTGCATGGAGCCTGGTTCACAGTAGGAACACAAGATGTTATTTATCCTCCTAAAGAAATTGGCCCCAGCCTCCTTGCCTGGCTCAAGGAGAAAGAAAAGGAAAGTAGAAAGAAAAGAGATCCTTTGGAGTTTCCAGATTCCAGGCTGGATGCTAGGCAGGCCTCCCTCTTTCAGCCATGTCTGGCATGCCCCAGGACACACAAGTTCTACCTGGCCTGGATCCTCCCCACACAGCCATCTCCTGGGCAGGTAGCTTTTCTGCTCTTTCCACTTACCCCAGTGCAGGTCCCAATGCAGGACATGACATTTCTGTACACATGAGTTGCACATTCTGGATGTGGGGACTGACTCTGAACACCTGTGTCCAGCAAAGACCCTGCTTGTCAGTTGTGGATTCATCCTGTCCTGTTCTCCTGCCCATGGGCTGCTGACATCGTCTCTCCAGGCTTCTCCTGGATGTATCCCCAAGCAGGACTACGCCTCACCTCTCCCTTCCTCACTGTGCTGGGCAGAGAGCATGGGGCGTCTCATGCCTTTTAATGCCTTCTTCAAGACTTCTACTTCACAAGCCTCCTAGAAACTCAGTGTGAACTCAACTTACTTGGTGCCCTTTTTTTTTTCATGGTAAAAAAGGAAGTCTTAAATACTTAGTCCATTCAATTTGGACAAAAGTCACGAATTGGCAAGCATTTTTGGAACTCACAGGACACATTTCTGGACTTTGGGATTTTTCCCAAGAATTCTGGGACAGAACATTTCATTTTGTGGGGCTTCTGGTCCTGATGCAGATAACTTGCCAGCTGTGATGTCAGCTAAAAACAGCAGAAGGGTTATGTCTGGGAACAGCAGCCATACTGGCTCTTCTCACATCAAGGCTGGGGATGTGCAGGGATATGGCAATAAGGGCTGGAACCAGGCCGCCTGACAAGGGATCCAAGCTGGTTGGCTCAGGTGAGCTGAGGACAGGAGTTCAATCTCTCCAGTTAGATGGCAGCCAAAAAGGCCATTAGTCCCATAGAGAGACAGATGTAATGCCTACAGCTTTTAGACAGCAATGCTCTGAAATTTTAAGTTATTATCCACTGACAGCAACAGAATTCTCCCTGTACTTATGAGATGAGCACAATTTAACTATGAAAGCTCATCGCACATGATCAATGGTCCTGCTGGTGACAGTGAGTGGTAGAGGCCATGGGACTCAGTTCACACTAAAAATAAGATGGAGACTGTGTATGACATCGGAGAACTTCAAAGAAACAAACATGCACAGGACAGAATTGTCTCCAACACCTGTACCATTTGCAGAAAGGTATACCACTGACTTCCTAGCTTCAGGGTGAGGACAATCCTTTGACCTCTGTGTTCCCTTTATTCCATCATTCCATATTTCCCAAGTCAATAAATGGAGTTCCCCAGGGAGCAGTTAAAGCAGAACACTGGACAGGTCTTCCTCACAGACACAAAACACAAGATGCGGAATTTCCGTCTCTCAAAGCAAGTTCTTAGATTCCTAGCCTGCCAGGCCTTAGTTCTCCAATGATAACCTGAACTGTATTGTGTTTCCAGGGGCCACTGCACAGGAACACAAAGACAGATCAATGATCAGTGAGAGAAATAGGCTATTTCTTCAATAAATAAATAACTCTGAGTGGTTGAAAGTTTCCACTGAGGTTTTGGATGATGTTATAGATCTAAAGATTAGCAGGTAAGCGTGCTTACCTGTGGCTCCCTGCTGGCCCCCTATCCTTCCTCAAGAATCTCCCTAACGTCCAAAGCACTGGCGATGCAGGAGATCTATTCAGCCAATTCCTCGGCCACACTCAGCTGCAGGGTCTACAGCAGGCTACTTTTCCTTCAGTGGTGAAATACCAGCTCAGACTCACTTACAATTGGCTTTCCTTTTCTATTCCATCCCAGCAGCTTCTGGACTCCACATTGGTGGTCAGAGTCCCAAGTGCTGTGCAATGCCCTCATGTATAAGAAATGCTCTACCACACACAGAACCTATCTGATTCTGCCTGCTGGAGCGCACTATGGGGCAGGGCAGCTGGATGGTTCTAACTAAAACTTTTTGAGAGTTATTTTGCCCTGGTTCAGATTTGCTTAGAAAAGTGAAACTAAATTGCAAAGGAGGATAAAAAAAATCTTAAACATATCACCTTGACTTACAAAACAAATAGAAGTTGTGTGCTCTGCCTCACAAATGTCCTCACTTAGGGTATAGGCCTGGGAGCTTGGGTAGACATCTAGAAGCCTTAAAATACTATACACCTGACTACAGCACTGTCAAACCATAGTGGTATGCTCACCACCATCTGCTGTTTGGCAGGAAGGTGAAAGGCAGGTAAACAAAAGTGCCAGCACCTGGCTGCTGATTAATCACCAAACTGAGGCCTGTGGAAGTGTCTTAGGAAAGGAAGGCTTTAGAGAATAGTCTGGAAATGAGTCCAAAAGAAACCTCCCTGCTCAATCTACTAAAGTGCAAATTCAGGGAACACTGGGTCCTCACAATGATGCCTAGTGGTCTGCTGTGACGAACACTCAGCCAGTGCCACAAGCCAGGCTTGACCGTCCTGGTACTGGCTATGTTCACATTCACAGTAACGACAGCGGTGCTGAATGAGCAGCCTGCAGTTCCACATCCATCTGTCCCCTCCCACTGTGGTCATGCCTCGCGAGCATAGCTCTGACAAGTCCTGGGAGCAGCTAGAGCACGGTGCTCCTTCCTGCTGCAGTCTGCTGAGTCCGAGGAAGTGGCTCAGAGAAACAGGCGCCTGTCTTTCCTGGACTCAGAAGTAGTCTCTCCTCCTGCTCTCATCGCTGATGAAAGATGGGTTATACTGTCCTGGGAAAATGCAAGAGTGCCGTGACCCCGGCAATCCAGTGTAGGCTGGGTAGAGTCCATTGCGTTCAAGTTCAGGATTCCTTACATTTGTGGGCTGAATGCCAAAGAGAAAAGAAAAGCCAATTATTTCTGGGTTTAAATTAAGTGCAAAAAAATTTCTATGTCTTAATAAATTTAAGATTGGGCTAGCTATAAATAGCAAAGCATGGTCTGACCTGGAAGCAGGATCCTCACAGGTTGATTTATTTAGATTTTGGAGGCCTAGGGTCTTGCTAGGTGCCCCTGGCTGGCCTTTAGATTACTACGTAGGTCAGGCTGGCTTGGAACACAATTGTTTTACCTCTTCCTCCCAAGTACTGGGATTACAGGACTATACTATCATATCTGCCTCCAGATTTGTCTCTTTATGGAACCTAGGATATATTTATCTTTATTTAATTACGTTTATTTATTTTATGTGTATGAGTGTATTGCCTGCATGTATCTAAGTGCATCAGTGTTGTGCAATGTCCCTGGAGGTCAGAAGAGGGTATCGGATCCCCTGGAACTGGAATTACAGATAGCTGATGCTGCCATGTGGGTGCTGGGAACCAAACCTGGGTCCTCTACAAGAGCAGGCAGTGCTCTTAACTGCTGAGCCATCTCTCTAGCCCCCAATTTACCTTTATTGTAAAAGGGAATTAAAAACGTTAATCAAGGCAGGTATCTGAAAACAGCAGTGGCAGCTGCTCTCTGGGTCTAGCAGGGGTTCCCTGCAGCCCTCATAGGAGCATCATAGGTAAATACTTTTATGGCAGAAATAAAATAGTGGATAGTGTGTATTATAAATGTGAAGCCTAGAACTGGGCGTGGTGGCACACACTTTTAGTCCCAGCACTCAGGAGGCGAAGGCACTTTAGGTGGATCTCTGTGAGTTCGAGGCCAGCCTGGTCTACATAGTGAGTTCCAGGCCAGCTGGGGCTACAGGGAGACCCTGTCTCAAAAATACCAAAAAAAAAAAAAAAAAAAAAAGTACTTGGTGACGCTTTATGATGTAACTTAGGTTTTGCTTTCACATAGGCTCAGCCTATTTCTGAAGTGAAGATGGGACTCATCTGAGTTCTTAACTAGATTTGAGGCAACTCTTCAGCTATGCCATGGGAATATGCAACGAGGCTCGGTCCTAGGGTGCTGTATGCCTGTTTATTGCTAATTATCACACCACACTGGGGCTGAGGTATCCTAAGCAAAAGATGTTGGGGTTCAAATACACCTGGGGAAGCTGCATAGTGTGGCTTCAGTTAGAAAAGGAAAAGCACTTTCCTGACAGAAAGGGGAAAAAGTGCAGTCCTGTGTGCATGCCAGAACACTGAACTAGGTTAAGTGGGCACCCACCTTCCTCTCTCTCTGTCTCTGTCTCTCTGGTCCTTTTGGGACAGTCTCCCTGTAGTCCCAGCTGGCCTGGAACTCGATGTGTAGACCAGGCTGGCCTTGAACTCACAAAGATCTGCCTGCCTCTGCCTCCCAAGTTCATCTCTCTCTTTTTTTAAAAAAAATTATTTATTATTTTATGTGCATAAGTGTATTGCCTGCATACATGTAAGTGCACCTGTGTTGTGCAATGCCCAAAGATGTCAGAAGAGGGGGTCAGTTCCCCTAGAACTGGAGTTAGGATGGTTGTCAGCTGCCATGTGGGTGCCGGGAACTGAACCGGGGTCCTCTGCCAGAGCAGTCAGTGGTCTTAACCTCTGAGCTATCACTCCAGCCCTTACCTTTCTCTTAATATTCTTCCTCAGGTTTCAAATTTTTCAAAGAGCACACTGAAACAGAAATGTCCTTAACATGAAGAAACCTGCTCCTCCCATCCAAAGTCTGATCCTTGTGGTTCATTCCCATAGCAACCTGAGGGATTATAGTTTCTATAACAAGACTATCTATGCCATTACATCCCACAGGGCAAGGTTTCATGTTTATTGCTGTACCTCAAACTGCTGAGAAGTCACCTGACATCTGTTTATTTTTCAGTTCAGATATCCCCATCTGTGTTTGCTTTATGGCTGACAGTGTAATTCGAAGTGATCTGGGCAGGGGAGAGGAGTAAGAGATCCAACTTGACCATATGTGGGACAGGAGGAAGGGCTCAAGGCATTCTCCCAGCTTTTGAAAGGATGTAGTTCACGGCTGGATAAAGCCAATTATTAAAGACTGAGTTCATGTCTAAGCCTCTGAAAAGTGTGGTGAGAATGGCACTGAGTTGTTATACTGAGCTGCCCTTGCTATGGCTTTGCCTAGTCCCCAGCTTGGGCTGATTAACTACACAAAGCAAGGTAAAAGATGGCAACCAAGATGGAAAACGAGAGGGCAAAGGGCTGGGTAGCACAAACGTCTTTCTTTGCAGTTTCCATTCCTATATCTTCAAAGCAAGTTTGGGGATTACTGCTACACCCCCTAAGAGTAACACAATACATGGAGCTAACTATCCTTCATACCTTAATACTCAAACTAATGAATATGCAAAGCAGCCCATCAGCTGAGTGGTAAATGATGTAAGTTAGAGGCTTATGACACTGTTCTCTTGGAGGCTTAACTAGCTCAGTGCTTTCACAAGACCAAGCAGAGCACTTTTACTCTTCCAAGGAGCCAGACTCAACTGGCCTGGGCACAGATACCTACTGAGTAATATACGTCCGTCATCTGCAGGAGGTTTTTGGTGCTTCCGTTCTCATGCATTTCAATGGCTTCTCGGCCCCATTCTTGTGAGCGAGGGTTCTTGGGGTATTCAGCATATGGGGACATTTGGAAGTCCCCGCTTTTGAAGATGAGTTTGCTTATGTCATTTTTGCTTTTCCTGTGAGTTTTAAAAAGGTTATTTTGCAACATGAATTAGAATGAGAACTACCACTATATTTCTGTGTGGTAGCCTACCAGAAATGTTATTGTTGTTTAGTATTTGACTAAAATCTACAAATAGGTGCAAAAAAAGATGCAAAAAGACTCCTAACTGAGACTGAGGTCACTGCACCCTGGAGTACCCAGGGAAACAAGAATCAAAGGTTCACAGAAGGCTGCAGGCCTGGAAAGAAGCTGGGTGACGCCCAAACATCACAAGACACAGGGGAAGGAAGCATCTACCTAGCACTGCATTGTACCAAATCAGGAGTGCAGATAATAGGGCAATTTTGGCTCATGGAAGACATGTGACTTGTCCCTAGGCTGGTCACTGCTACAGCACAGCCGGGCCTGGGATGAACTGCTCACCTCTCCAGTCGGTGCTTTATCCACTATATGAAACAGCTACACAAACCACAGAATACAGACCTTCCACATTCTCATTTTAGCAGGTCCAAAAATCCTCTTATAAGGTTCTCCTGACTAGAAATTGTCAGGATGTAAGTTCTATACCTATCAAATGGACCACAGATCAGAAATTTTAAGTGATAGTTTGCCTCAGGTAGGATAATCTGAAACCTGTTCCATCTCCCTCACTTCTCTTTGAGTAAATTTTCTGGGAAAGGCACAAAAAATGACTCAGGGTCATAAAACTTGAAGTTCAGTATGCGGCTTCAGTATTGGCAGGCTCAAAGCAGATCTGCTACCGTGGTGGGCAGACTATCCAGTCTCTATGACTTCCTTGTTCCTAACTACCTTCTCCTTTCAGTCACCAAGAGTCTAGGCAAACTGTGTGGTGTAGAACACTGCCAGACAAGGCTTATATCCCCTGAGCTGTCAGGTTTTGCTTCTCGAGGTAACAGTTCCTAGCCTCATAACTTACTTCATACTATTTATCTTTGAAGACAGTTTGGTAAGTGGAAAGTAGAGGTCATACTAGAGGCCTGTACTCCTTAGTGAGCACTTAGGGGTGAATTTTCTCTGTAGCCTTACTGGAGGAAAAGGATGTCTTAACAATGCCTTTGTCAGTGGTAGAAAAGATAACTTTCTATTTTGGGAAGCTCCCTCCATCTGTTATGTTCAGAGTTCTTGCCATTTGATATCATTTGAGTCAAAGATCGTAATTTTCCTTAATTTGAGCAGGTAATCACAGACAAGGGGGATTCCCCCTTTCCCTTCCTTTCCTACAGAAGCCCCATCCTAGGAAGCCCGGAGCCAAGCTGACTGTGCATCCTGCATTGCTGCTCCAACTTCCCCACCACTAACATAGTTCAGGGAGCCCCTTGCATCTTTCTTTCTTTGCCAGCTTCTCTCATATACATCATGCTGAGATACAATTCATATTAACTATACCATTTACATATTTAATGGTTTTAGCATATTCACAGCTGTGTGAACATCATCAACAATTTTTTTAAAGACGTTTCATTACCTCTAAAAGAAGTCTCATAATCCTTAACAATCACTCCACAATTCCCCAGTTTCTGCACCCAGCCCTATACTCCACCAACTCTTTCTGTCCCTACTAGACTCAACCTATTTTAATATCTCATATTAATATCACACCCTAGATGATCTTTTGCAACTGGGTTATTTCACTTAGAATCATTAAAATTTTTTTTGATTTATTTATTTTTTATTATATGTGTATGAGTATTTTGCCTACATGTATGTAAGTGGATTCATGTCATGCAATGCCCACAGTGTCCAGAAGAGGGGGTCAGATCCCCTGGAACTGGAGTTATAAACAGCTGTCAGCTGCTATGTGGGTGGTGGAAACTGAACCTGGGTCCTCTGCAAGAGCAGCCAGTGCTCCTAACCCCTAGCCACCTCTCCAGCCCCAGAATAATATTTTTAAGGTTGATCCACGTGTCAGTCAGTGCTTCTTTCTTTTTTGTGACTGCATGATGCTCCATGGTATGGCGACATGTATTCAGCTGATAGGCCTTTGGACTGTTTCACCTCTTGACTATCATGAATAATACTGCTGTGAATAATGGGTACGAGTTTTGTTGTTTTGTTTTGTTTGAGGCAAGGTCTCATTGTACAGCTCTGGCTAGCCTGGAACTTGAAATGTAGACCAGGCTGGCCTTGATCTCACAGAGATCCACCTGCCTGTGCCTCTGCTGGGACTAAAGGCGTGTCTACCAGTCCAGTAACGCAAGTATTCTTTAGATAAAAAAAAAAGTCCTTTTATAGCATAGGGAAAGAAACAGGATTAAAATCTGAACTCTCAGGGCTGCAGAGATGGCTCAGTGGTTAAGAGCACTGACTGCTCTTGCAGAGGACCTGGGTTCGATTCCCAGCACCCACATGGCAGCTACAAACTGTCCTTAACTCTGGTTCCAGGGGAATCTGACGCCCTCTTCTGACCTCCGCGGCATTGCACAACACGAGTGCACTCACATACATGTAGGCAATACACTCATACACATAAAATTTAAAAAAAAAAAAATCTGAACTCTCATCACTTACCTGCAGCAGGTGACAATAAGCGCAATGCCCAGGATCAGTAGAAGCCCGCCTCCCGCGGCTGCGATCACCACAGTGATGAGCTGATAGGCTAAATACATCAGACAAAGGAACACAACGGATTGGCAGGAGGTAATGAATGAGCACCAAGAGTCTTCCCTGCACCCTGCAGCCAGCAGCTGCTAGCTGGCCTCCCCTCCTGACCTCCTGTCTCTATCTCCCAAGTGCTGGGATTGCAGGCATGTGTCACCATGTTTGGCTCCCCTGGTTTCTTTTGGTGGTGGTGGTGGGGAAAAAAATAGTGTGTGCATGTGTGTGCACGTGTGAGCACAAACATGTACCATGTGACACGTGTTGAGGCGTTCAGAGGACAACTCTGTGGAATCAGTTTTCTACTTCTACCTTTTTCTGGTTTTTGGAGATGAAACACAGATTGCCAGACTTGAATGATATCTTTACCTGCTGAGCTATCTTGCCATCCTGCCACTCCCCTATCCCCCCACCCATTTACTTATTTTGAGGTAGGATCTTACTATGGAGCCCTAGCTGTCTTGGAACTTGCTATTTAGACCAGGCTGGCTTCAGAGTCACAGAGATGTGCCTGCTTCTCCTTCCTGAATGGTGGGATTAAAGGCATGCACTATCATATCCATCTGGATATTTTTTTTAAAATGTGCAGACCCCACAGGTCTATGTATCACCAAACCCACCCAGTCTAGGCCTCCTCTCCCAGGGGCTCTGCTTATGTACTTATCCGGACAAAACCTGTTGTCTTCTCAGCCCACCCTTTCTGGGGACGGTTTCCTCCCTCTTGCTGCAGTGGGGGAGGTCACACGTATTCATGTGATGACATCCTTGGCCACAGCTGATTAGGAATGAATTCATGACTCAAACTCAAATAGGGAAAAAGAAGATACTTTCTGTTTAGAAATGACTGAGCCAGTGACAAACACACTCAAGAGCTGTAGGGCAACTGTTTTCCACCACACTGAGAAGGGAAGGAAGCCTAGGCACAGGAGAGGCTTGGAATCTCATTCTCATGTGCTCTGGAAGGAAGGCTCTGGTCTCAAAGGTTGGAGGTCCCCATATCACTGATTTCTCTATCCCTGAGGTTGGAATCAGGGCACACTCACCATCTTTTCAATAAATGTCTTTGTTTAAACTAGCCAGGTTTTCACTCCAGAAGAAGTTAACCAATACACCTTTCTTTTAAAAGCACATGACAGAACTGTCTAAAAAATTCACTTAGTTCTTTGCATCCCCTCCACCCGACCCCCCGACCTCATTAAGCTCATTAGCAACACATGGTTAGAATTTTGCATTTTTTTAAATCTTTGCCTTCCATTCAAGGCATTATTTTCTCTTGGCCCCTTCTGAAGTTTCCCCTCTTCAAGTCTCTAAACCATGAGTGAATAGACCCAGTGCCTCTGCCTTCCACGACGACAATTTCCCATGTGACTGTCACTTTCTGCCGGGACTTCCATCTCACCAGGCAGTGGTAGACACAGAACGGTATTCCCTTTCCCCAAGCCCTGCTTCCCTCCTGTTCTGACAGGAACGGAGTCAGTTGAGACCAGGGAAGTGACTGCTTTTGCTGACTTCTGGGTAATTACTGATCTCCCCTTCCTCCTAAGTGTTCCATCTCCATATTCCTGCATATTTGTACCAAGCAACATTGGCTGACACATGGCATTTCCACTGGACTGAATCTTTGTATAGTCCCATGCAATGACAAGGAAAACACAACTAAAAGGTACTTTATGCTCCTGCCACAGACTGTGGTGGGGGCAGAAGACAGTAGGATTATCTTTAGGTGGAATATTCTGGTTCGTTTGAAGGGGACTATAAACAGAAAAAACAGGCTCTAAATCCACACTGGGAGGCCATTAGGGAAGGATCTCCAATGAGGAGATTCAGAACCTTTGAAGAAAAAGGATGCCCTCCAAAGGGACATGGGATGAAGAGGGATGGGCAAAAGTGTCTGTACTAAGAAAAAATTAATCCAGGAAAATTCCATGAGTTCTATGGCCATGAAGTGACAATAACCATAAAACAGAGAAATGGCCTAGAGAAGAGTCCATCAAAAAGATTTTTACAAGGTAATGAGAGGGAAAGAGCAAGGTAAATTATAGCGGAGAATACTATAGCACTATCAAAAGTGATGTTATAAAATTATACAAATGAAAACACTGCATAGTCAAAAACAAGTTACAGAGCAGTATATTCAGTGTGCTGGATAGCTTTAGTGTCAACGTGACATACCTGGGTTGAGGGAGCCTCAATTGGGGAATTGCCTCCATTGAACTGGCCTGTGGCCATGTCTGTGGAGCATCTTCTTGATTGTTGAGTGATGTGGGAGGGTCCAGCCCACTGTGGGTGGTGCCACCCCTGGGCAGGTGGACCTGTGTTGCCTAAGAAAGCAGGCTGAGCAGGAGCCAGGGAGCAAGCCAATAAGAAGTGTTCCTCCACGGCCTGTGCTCCAGCTCCTGCCTCCAAGTTCCTGCCCTGAGTTCCTACCTTGGGCTCCCTGATGAACTGTGACCTGGGAGATCTAAGCTGAATAAACCCTTTCTTCCCCAAGTTAGTAGTGGTCAGAGTGCTTCGTCACAGCAATGGAGAAACAAACTAGGACATTCAGTAAGGTTCAATCCTTAAAAAAGATATCTACATTCCTTGTCTCTGGAAAGATGGATGATCCCAAACTTTAGGATGTATGAAATTCTGCACATAAGCTAATCTCTGGACCTGGTAAATTTCTAGATTCTGATTCCATAGGTCTAGAGCGGAGAGGCCTGAAAGTCTGTTCCAGCAAACTCCTGGTAATACTAGAGCTGCTTGTCCTTCAGACCACACCTAGGACAGAGGACTCATGATGTGTGATGGACGATACTTCCTCTTCTTTCTTTATGTATATCTACTCTAGTATTAATTTGGGGGTTAAAAGGAAATTAATGAGCATATATTATTTTATGCTATAAAAGAGTAAAATTAATTATAAAAAGAGAAAAGAGTGGCTGGTATGATGGCACATGCAGGCAACCCTAGCACTTGGGAAGCTGAGGCAGAAGGATTGTGAGTTTGAGGTCAGCTTAGGCTACAAAGTAAGTTCCAGGCCAGTTTGAGATATATGTGAAAGCCTATCTACACACACACACACACACACACACACACACACTCACGAAAAGGAAAAAAAACATCGAAGCAAACCACACGAAAAGGGAAAAAAAAAATCGAAGCAAACCAAAGTGTCACAGGAGACATTATAGTTCCTATGAAGGAACCAACATAAAATTCAAGCCACAAAACCAGTGAGATGGCTCAGCAGGTAAAAGGTGCTTGCCAGAAACCCTGACCTGAGTTTGAGTCCTGGACCCACATGGTGGAAGCACAGAACTGACCCCCCCACCCCGCAAGTTGTTTTCTAATCTACAGATATACAAACATACTGCATTTAATAGAGTCAGAAAAAATTTAAGCCATAAAGGACATATGCTAGCCTAAGAACGCAGCATCGGACAAGGGACACGCCTGATAGCACATTAGGAAAGAATTCTGGACAACAGTAAAAGAAGACACAATTGTTGGAATGTGGGATATAAACAGAAATACTTTTCATGGAAACATGAGAAAAAGGAGCGATCAAACAGCCGCAGCCTGAGCTGCCTAGGTGTGCATGACCTGTGTGTCCTCGGAAACTAAAGACGAAAGACTTATCCTGCTCTTTTGAAGTATTCTCTACAAGAAGCAAGGAGGGAAATCTGGGTAGGGCTAGAAAGCTGGCAGAAGCCTTTAGAAAGGCAAGACACAGGTGATGCCTAAACCCAGAATATGCTGGGCTTGGTGACAGCCAGGAAAATAGGAATGAGAGAATTTCAAGGTCATACAGATGGCTGGCAAAAGCTGGCTTCTTTATCTCACAAGATGTGGGAATAGTGGTGCCAAGAAGTCCATATAAAGATGAAGCATTTGTCAGCTATGAAGAATCTAGCTTGAAAGGCACACTTGCAACCCCAGCACACAAGAGAATGAGGCAAGAGGATTGTGAGTTTGAGGCTAGCCTGGGCATACAGTGAGACCCTGTCTCAAAAATAAACAAATAAACAAAACACTAGATTGAGCCACAGCCCCTGTGAAGAGTCATCAGAGCTTTGCTATTTGGTACCAAATACTGGATGCTAAGTCACAGACTCTCAAGGTGCTTTTTCCTCACAGATCAGGAAGCATTTGGTGTTCCTGATTCCTTAACCAACACCCAGGGCTAGGCCCAGACATCAGTTAAGGAAGCAGGAGGCAAATGTCTCTAACAATGCACATGCTGCTGACATAGGCACAGCAAGTGGTGTTTTGTATATTATCACCAGCTATAGATTATCAGCCACCATAAAATATTCTGTAAGGCTAAAATTAATGCAGATGTCAAACTCATCACTGTTTAATGATGACAAGCTATCTATGTCAGTTTCTGGAGGTGGGCTGGGAACCAACAATCTAGGCAAGTGCCTGCCCTTTGCTAGTCATAAATGATGGTTACTTGGATAAATGGGGGAGGAAAAAGAAATATCAGAGACCTGAGAGAAATTCTGGTTATTTCTAGGACCCCACAAACAATGGGGCTGACTTGAAATTTTCCTGCCATAAGAACTTACAGAAAAGGAATGGATGCAGGGGTATGGAATCTCTAGACAGAGTAGTAATGGTCTCGCAGGGGGAAAGAAGCACCAACATCATTAAATACTAGGATGTGAATCCATATAACGCACTTTCCAGGAGGACAGCTATTCTCCTGAATACTGAAGCAGGAAGACCTGGAAGCCAGATGAGAAAGTGACTTGTCTAAAAGCTGATTTTCATTTACTATATACTTTTGGTGCTGGGAATCAAACCCAGGATCTTATGCGTGTTAAGTACAGGGTCTACCACTGGTGGGTTCCTAGGCCAAAAGTGATGTTTAGTAATGAATATAAACTACTATGAGATTATTTCCCACAAACCAGCCCTCAGCCCCAAACTGAAGCAAACTCTTGTAGGAGCTGACACTTGAAAATCTGGAGTACTTTTATTTATATATTTATTTAGACAGGGTCTTGGCTGTGTAACCCTGGCTGGCCTGGACCTCTGTATGTATGTAGATCAGTCTGATCTTGAACTCACAGAGATCCTCTTTCTTCTGCCTCCCAAGTGCTGGGATAAAAGGTGTGTGCCATCATACCCAGCAGTTGTGATTTTTTAAAAACTGAGCACTGTGTGAGTGCATCTCTCTATTCAAACGACTCTACACTTGATCTTAGTCAAGAGGACAGAAGTGATTCATATGACTGTTTGTAGAACAGCTACCCCAGTCCTTCTCTTGGGCTCGCCACTGTTACTTCTTGATAGTTTGCAATCAGGATAGATCGAGTGACCGATTTCATTGTAATAGTAAATGGCTACATGATTCTGAGTCTTAAGACTCTGGCCTGACAGATGTATGCTGGGCACACCAAGAGAGTTTATGCCAGCTTTGTGCTCAATCTTGTCTTATTTTTCTTTATGCTCAAATTTCAGTGGTGAAATTTGCTAAGAGAAAATCTTCATAGACAAGGGCAGCTCCCAGTCTTAATCAGAGAAGCTTCTTAGCTGTACCATGGTAAATGCAGAGACTCATGGCTGCCCAAAAGGTAGAAATAACTAATGGATGTGGGCCCAGTCCTAAACAGGTCACCCCCTCGAAGGTTCAGGGAACATTGCAGAAGACGGGGCAGAAGTATGTAAGAGCCGGAAGATTGGGTGAAGGGCTACAAAATGCCATTTCCTAGACTCAATATAACTACTGTAATCATTAGCTCACATGGATTGTAATTATAAGTGCTGGATTTACACAAGACCAGCTCTATCAACAATCAGTCAAGGAACGGAGAGGGGCTCATGGAACCCTACACTTCACCTCTGAAATACTGGCTGTTGACAGACTCTGGGAGAGAGGGAATCACAGTCTATAGCTGTTTACTCTCTGCTGAGCTTACCGGGCTCTAACGGAGAGCTCCACACTCAGTCACACAAACAACCCTGGTTAATCTTGGTGGGTCACAAAACAAGGTGAACTGACATGAATGTGCCAGAGATTTGTGGGGGAGGGTGGAAAGCAGACAGGTGTGGTAGGGAGGTAGGAGATGAGATGTCAGAATGCCGAGAGTTCACATTTGAAATTGGTATATGCCTGTACACTCAGGAAGCAGAGGCAAGAAGATCACAACAAGTCTGAAGTCAGTTTGGTCTATATAGTGAGTTCTAGGCTAGCCAGGGCTACAACTGAGACCCCATCAAAAAATAATAAAAAGAAAGGGAAAGGAAAGATTTATGGATACACTGAAGATAGGCATATCATTAGGAAATAGAAACTCATGATGTTTACACACCTTAAAATCATGTCTACTTTTAATACTGTAAACTTAGAATAGTTACCCTTAGCACAATTGCCTGTGGAGTAAGGGACAGCTACCTTAAAATGGTCTTTATTAGGATTATTTTCATTACACTTTATTATATCCTATATCACAAAAATTTGTTTCTTAATTTTGAAGAGAATTTCTACTTCTAATGTATCTGCAGATCTAAAAATGTCAATGCAAGCAATCTAAAATAAACTGCTTTTAAAGAACTGAATTCAATGCCAGTGTGGTGATGCATGCCTTTAATCCTAGTACTCAGAAGACAGAGGCAGGCAATCTCTGAGATGGGAGGCCAGCCTGGTCTATACAACAAGTTTCAAGTCAGCAATTAGGAATACCAGGAGAACCTGTCTCAAAAACAAACAAAACAAAACAAACAAACAAAAACACAAAAGCAAACAAAAAGAACTGAATTCAATGTGCGACACCACACTTGCTGGTGCCTTCAGCACCTCTGACTGTTAAGCTCCACCCTCTATGTGTGGGGTGTGTGTGTAAGACTCTAGTTGTAGTAGATGACTTCCAAGGTTAGCCCTTGCCCCGAGCTGGCACTACACTGGAAGTCTGCAAACTACCCCACAGTCTCTGTTCAGCTGTTCCTCCTTGCTACAGCTTCAGAGGCTTTCCTCAATTAATTACAGACCTTTGTTGGGCTGATTTGTGCCAGCACCCCAGCAGTTATTGATTACAGCCTAAATATTTGCCTCACCTGACTCAATAGTAAGTCCCTGTCTACTTTGCAAACCTAATCTTTCACTTTCTGCCTTCTTCTCCTTCCACGATCCAGGCACACCCACTTACAAACTGTCCCCACAATATCATGGATCCGTGGCTGCCCCAAGATTTAACTGGTTCTTTCTCTGGATGTCCTCTCCTTTCCTGTCCAGCCTTTTGAAACTGTCCTCCAATTCCATCTCGCCAAGAAACAGTTCTGTGATTCTCTGTTGGGTTTGGGCTCTGCTCCATGCCCTACCTCATGCTTACTTATCACACTAACTCAGTCAGAGCCATGCAGGGATATTTATTTTCTCTTCTAGACCTTGAACTCTGGAGAGCACAGAACAAGCCTTCCTCTTTGTTTCTTCCCATGATACCCAGCATAGGACTTAAGAAGACGGAGGGTTTAAATTAGGATGGGAGGAGACTGTCACTAAGATGGCCCCCACCCAACCACAACTCTCCACTCTGGCACACTTACGGTTTCCACAGTTGAGACCACCAAGGCCAAATGGGCAACTGCAAGTCAAGAAAGAAAACACGAATTAGTCTCAAATCTCAAAGAAAACAATGGAGGCAGTTTATGCAAGTAAGTTTCTTCACTTAGGATAGGCTCTTTATTAGTATAGTCTTTATTTTAGGATTTTTTTTTGTACTTTTGAGACAGGGTCTCTCTGTAACTCCAGCTGGCCTGGAACCCAGTTTATAGATGAGGCTGGCCTCTATCTCAGAGTTCTACCTGCCTCTGCTTCCCAAGTGCTGGGATTAAAGGCCTGTGCCACCACATCTGGCTTTTTATTTATTTATTTTTTGACGCATTTATTTTTATGTGTATGAGTGTATTGTCTGCATATGCATGTAAAGTGTACCCACACATGCAATACCTGTGGAGGCCAGAAAAGGGTGTCAGATTCCCTACAGCTGGAGTTTCAGAAAGTTGTTAGCTGCTATGTGGGTGCTGGGGACCAAACCTGGATCCTCTGCAAGAGTAGCCAGTGCTCTTAACCTCTGAGCCACCTCTCCAGCCCCTAGGACAGTTTCTATGGTAAGATTTGTAAGTACTTTTTTAGGAAAGTGAGTGAGGTGCTTACCTCATACAAGTCTCATTTTCAAGCCTATAGCCATCTTCACATGCTGAAAGAGAAAAGAAAACCCATGAAGGTCTATTTACCTTCCACAGCTGGAACTCCCATTTCATTAAACACCAGACACCCAAAATCCACAAGAATACAAATGGAAAACAGCAAAAAGCTTTAAAATTATCTGTAACCTAACCTGAGCACTGTAACACTGTTGCCATCTTAACTGTCACTCTTTTTTTTTTTTTTTTGGTCTTTTTGAGGCAGGGTCTCCCTGTAGCCCCGGCTGTCCTGGAACTCACTATATAGACCAGGCTGGCCTTGAACTCACAGAGATCCACCTGCCGCTGCCTCCCAAGTGCTGGGATTAAAGGCGTGCGCCACCATGCCAACTTCTCTTTTTTTAAAGATGATAAGCAGCCTTTCAGTGAGGACACAATCTATCCAGGCTGACTAAACATACATGTAGGCAGCCAAAGTGAGGCAAAAGAAATACGCATCTCTTGCTCCCCAAAGACCTTAGGCATGCCAAGTTTTCTTCCAAATGGCTATGTGCCTGGCCATCTCAACTCTTAAAGTAACCAAGAAACTTTTCTTTTTAAAAGTATTTTATTATTATTATTTTATTTTGTGTGTATGAGTGCATTGCCTGCATGTATGTAAGTGGACCTGTGTTGTACAGTGCCCACGGAGGTCAGAAGAGGGGGTCAGATCCTCTGGAACTCGAGTTATGGATGGTTGTTAGCCACCATGTGGGTGCTGGGAACTGAACCCAGGTCCTCTGCAAGAGCAGCCAGTGCTCTTAACTGCTGCGCCATCTCTCCAGGCCCTAAGAAATTTTTCTTAACCTTATTGTGACTCAATTTCTCACCAATAAAAACAGGGTAAGAAGAAGATAATAGTTTCTTAGAGGAGAGTAGATAAAATAAAGCATGCAAATGGCTCAACATGGGTCTGGCACCTAGTAATCACTAAATAAATGTGTCCATTTATCGTTATTGTCCAATACATACAATTCTTAAGAACTTTTATTTTTAAAGATTTATTTACTTTATGTGTATGTATGTAGACCTGCTTGTCTTTATGCACACCATGTGCATGCAGTGCTGACAGAGGCCAGAAGAGGGTGTTGGATCCCCTAGAGCCAGAGTTACAGGTGGTTGGGAACTACCTGATGTGGGTGCTGGGAAAACTCATGTCCTGTGGAAGAGGAGCAGTTGCTCTTAACCACTGAGCCATCTCTCTAGTCTCCAGGCTATGCAATTCTATTTGGAGGTTTCCTAGAAACAAAGACTCCTATAGAATGCCCATCCATATACACAAAGACAAATGTTTCACCTACTCTGATGTAAATCACACCCTCAATGTGGCACTGGTACTCTTTTCTCCCTTCCATAAGGAGGCAGAAGCCTTGGGTGACACCCTCTGGGACATGATTCTGGAGGTTGCCCAGGTTTTCATAAAATATTGCTTACCCTATAGTCTGTGCAACAGAGTCTAGATGGATCTAGAGGTGTCCTAATTTTCACCTTGCCCAAGAACATAGCTTTGAACCTTCTGGTGGTATTGCTCCAGGAACACTGCTCCACTGAACAGACTAGGCTCAGTCATTCTCCTAGATCAGCAATTCTCAAGCTTATCTGATCTCAGGACGTTTTTAGCATTCCAATAACTCAAGCAAACACCAAGAGCTACAATGCATGCTCAGATGAAAGAAAACAATGAAAAATGGCCTCGTACACAAATTCCTTGCCACAAGCAAGGAATGATGGAAACTTGATTCGTGATTAATGTACGATATACATCACATAAGAGATCAGACAAGAAAAGGTGGAGAGTGTAGAGCTGTCAACCATGAACAGATAGGAGACACACAGTAAAAGGGAGGTATGAGTGCCAAGGGTATACATGGGTTGTAGATGGGATGGCGGGGGTGCACACCCTGTAGGCTGGGACTGGAGGTCTCACAGACATTCCCACATTCTGTTATAGATGTGGACATAATAGCATTAAGTGTGTAGATGTGTTCATTATCTTTCTCCTTTTACTTTTTTTTTGTGCTAGAAGCTAAATATTTTTGGCATCTATTTTACTGTCATGAACCATCTATTGACATCAATAGTTTTGTGGAACACAGTTTGGAAAAACACTGTTCCAAATAATCTGTAATTGATTTCACAGCAGATGATTAAAGAGCCATGACCCAGGACTGCACTGTTTTTGCCCCCACAGAATCGTTTTTCCTGAGCTACATTCACTCTCATGCACCAAGGGCTGCTGATCCTAGGAAGCAGCCATGAGAAATCCCTATGACATCTATTGCAGGAGGTCATGGACTACACTACCATAATACCTCAGTAACCTGTTGGTGAGCATGCCCAGAGAAACTTCTTGTGGGCCTCAATGTCTAAAAAGACAGGGAGTCTCCTGAACAAGGGGCACTTTACCTTCTAGGTCATGACTGCTTTCAAAGTCATGCTCCTTTTTGTTTTTGCCTTAGTGTCCAAGAAGCTTAAAACTTGAGTGTGTGGGGCTTGGCAAGCATACAGTTCATCTTTCTGCAGGTTCACTGTCCTTCCAGCCACAGGGAAGTACTCAATTTGCCCTTCAATCTGATTTACCTTTTAAGTATGTATGACTTTGTATTTAAATATGTATTTGCTGGCTGTGCATGGTGGCACATGCCTTTATAATCCCAGCATTTGGGAGGCAGAGGCTGGTGGATCTCTGTGAGTTCAAGGCCAGCCTGGTTTACACATGGAGTTCCAGGCCAGTTGGGGCGACAGGGAGACCCTTTCTCAGGTCCCGTTCCCCCAAATTAACTGCGTTTTTATGGCCTTTGAACTCACAACCCTCCTGCATGTGCCACCATGCCCAGTATGTTTTTCCCCCATGCTACATATAACCAGCTAAATTTGTGGGTTTTTAAAAAATGTATAAAAAAGTCACTTTATTGTAATTAACTCATAAATAAAAACATCACACAGTGATTAAGATAGCCACTCAAACACTTGCGCAGTCCCAAATCTCAGTGAACTACTGCATAGTTAGAATAGTCATTCTGATTTTTTATTTTTTATTTTTTTTGTGATAAGGTCTCATTGTCTACCTCTGGAACTGTTGGCCTGGAACTCACTATGCAGACCAGGATAGCTTCAAACTCAGAGATCTGTTTGCCTCTACCTCCTGAGTGCTGAGGTTAAAGGCATGCCCCACCAGGTCTGGCTTAAAATTGTCAGCCCGAAGCTATGGAGCCTCATTTACAGCTTTACACTTTCATTATCAATCATATTTTCATGCACTTATCTACCACAAAAAAGAGAAAAAAGCCCCAACAAAGTTGAAACTAGAGGAACAATTAGCTTTCAACCCTCATTCATGGCTCACCATCCCTTTGTCTATAAGCCTCCTGCCTCATCACCTAATATACCTAATATTACCCTCTCTTGGTCTCCTTTGTAAATGTTACACTAGACCCACACTTGCAGCTGTTTATATATACATACATATATATTTTTCTTTCTGAATTTGTGTGATTTGATCTAACATTATACTCTCTAAGTCCATCCATTCTGCAAATTTTGCGGTTTCATTTGTCTTTTTTTTAAAAAAGTATTTTATTATTTTTGTTTTTTTTTTTGTCTTTTTGAGACAGAGTCTCCCTGTAGCCCCAGCTGTCCTGGAACTCACTATGTAGACCAGGCTGGCCTTGAACTCACAGAGATCTGCCTGCCTCTGCCCCCCAAGTGCTAGCACTACAGGGGTGCGCCACCATGCCCGGTGTATTTTATTAGTATTGCTTGCATGTGTGTAAGTGCACCAGTGTTATGCAATACCTGTGGAGGTCAGAGGAAGGCACTGGATCCCCCGGAACTGGAGTTACAGATGATTGTTAGCTGCCACATGGGTGCTGGGAATCAAACCTGGGTTTGATTGTAAGAGCAGCTAGCACTCTTAACCGCTGAGCCATCTCTCCAGTCCTGGTTTCATTTTTCTTTATGGCGGAATAATATTACATTTTCTCTATGTACCACATTTTCATTATCCATTCATCTGTTGATAGACATCTAGTGTACTAGTTACTTTTCTGTTGCTTTGGTCAACACCATGACCAAGGCAAGTTCTAGAAGGAAGAGTTTGTCTTATGGTTCCACAATGGTGGAGGATGCATTAGGAGGAGAAAGGTGAGAGTTCACATCTTTAATCACTTGCAGGAAGAGGAAAGAAAAATTACAAGTAGGGCAAGGCTATGAACTCTGACAATCTGCCCCTAGTGACATGCTTCCTCCAGCAATAAACATGGATATTCAAATATTTCTACAATAGGATATGGAGATTTGCCCAGGAATGGGCTAGCTGAGTCGTGTGTTAATTCTATTTTTAATTTTTTGAGGACCCTCCAAACTGATTTTCATAATGACTATATTAATCTGCACCCCCCACCAGCAGTGAATAAGGGTTCATCTTTTCCCACATCCTCGCCAACATTTGTTGTTAGATTTCTTGATGATTACTATTCTGACTCAGATGAGGTAGTATCTCAAAAGTAGTTTTAATTTCCATTTCCCTAATGACTAGGGACATTGGACACTTTTGAAAATAGTTATTGACCATTTGTATCTCTTGTAAATTGTTCACTAGTCCTGACCAGTACTTTAAAATTTTTATATTTATTTTATGTATGTATGCAGGTGTGCATATGGCACGGAGCATATGTGGAAGTCAGAGGACAACTCTTAGGAGTCAGTCCTCTCCTACCATCTAATGGGATCTAGAGATTGAACTCAAGTCATCAGGCCTGACCCCTACCTGGATTAGCTGTCCTGCTGGCCTCCTAGCACCTTTTAAATATTTCACAATCTTATTTCACTCTATGAATTTTCATTAGGCATTTCAAATCCTTCATTCCACAGGCAGAGTGAGATTCTATTTTGAGAAGAGATGAGGCTGTATCTCCCAATCTTTGGCACCTCAAGTTCTCTGCTGGTCTTATGAAAGCAGAGCCTTCTCTAAGGAACAGAGTAGTCCTGTCCTTCCGCCTGTGAGGAAACCTACATGCCCTCTCGGTCCTCTTCCCACTGTGTGATTTTGCATCATGCAACAGTGGGGTTGTGGGAGCGATGGCAATCCCCCAAGATGACCCATAGCTCAGACTTCAGGGCTCTTCCATTGGGACTGCTCGCTGCTCTCAGCACTGAGGTAGGCTGACATCACACAGTCTGTTCTATTCTGACACTTCCTGGAAATGTTTTTACATTGATCTACCTACCTACCCAACTTTCATTTGCTGGGTGGGAGCGCTCCACTTCTTGGCTGTTACCCAGCCATGTGTAAGGTCCATCTGCTGTCCTGCCTAAGAGCTGGTGGGGTGACTATTTTCATTTATCTTTAGAAGCAGCCCACCTCCCTGATCTGGTGATATTTCTGTTTCAAAAGAGCATGGACTGGTGAGGTAGCTCATGGGTAAAGGTTCTTACCACCAAACCTGATGACCTGAACTCAGTCCCCAGGACCCATACAGTGGAAAGAGAGAACCTACTCCACCAAGTTGTCCTCTGACCTCCATACATGTAACAAGTAAGTAAATACCAAATGCATTTTTTAAAAAAGGTTCACCTGTTCATTAAGGATTGAATGTTCCTCTGTCTGCTGCTGCTCTTAGGGCTTACGGGAAACCTTGTCAGAAAGGCACTTCTAGTTCCTTATCACACACACCCTAGAGGGACTCTGACCCCAGGGTACTGATGACAAAACCATGTGACTGGAGTCTGCATGTATGACCTCACTGGGCTCTCCCACTGCTACAGGAAACAAGTAAATTCAAGCTTAAAGAACATGGTAGAGTCTTAACAACCCCTTTGTTCCCTTGCCTCAAACTAAGCCAAGATGTGCCAGTCTTTTCCTGCCATATATGCTGTCCATGTATTCACTCAATGGACATTGAACTCCACCACATGCTAAGTCTTATTCTGGATAATTTTGGCTCTGAAGGTACTAGCCTTGTGGTGAGCTGAAGACTGTTAGAATTCATTGTGATTGCCTACATGCCGGAAGGAAGCTGAAACCCAGGAAGAATACCTATTGCAATTTTAAATTTGCCTGTGCCCCAGCACCAATGGCCAGAAGATGTCACTGCTAAGCCATCTGTCAGGACTATAGCCCACAAAACTCCAGAATCCATTCATCAGAGGCCTGGTGGCCACCAACACTGCAAAGAGAGCTTTGTGGTGCTTCAGCAACAAGCCCTAAGGCTAATTAAGGTCTGATGCTCCTCCTTGGATCACTACTTGGTAAACAAGGGTTGGTGGTGCCTGTATCACTTAAAGCACACACACTGAATATGATAATCTTAAATGGGGCATAGAAACATATGCCTCCAATCCCATAGGAGGCTGTGATGGAGGATCACGAGTCTGAGGCCAGCCTGAGCTATATTTTGTGTTCTGGGTTAGTTTTTGTCAACCTGATACAAACTAAAGTCACCTGGGAAGAGAGACCTTCAACTAGAGAATTTCCCAGATCAGACCGACCTGTGGCCATGTCTGTGAGGCATTTTCTTGATTATTAGTTGATGTGAGAGGGCCCAGCTTACTGTAGACAGGGCTGGACTGTGTAGGAAGGGTGGCTGAGCAGGCCAGGAAAGTAAGCCATAAGCTAGCTATGTTCCTCCAGTTCCTTCAGTTCCTGCCTCCAGGTTTTTGTCTTGAGTTCCTGCCCTGGCTTCTCTTGATGTTGGACTGTAACCTATAAGCCAAATAAACCCTTTCCTCCCCAGGTTGCTTTTGGTCATGGTGTTTATCACAGCAACAGAAACCAAACTAGAACACTAGGCAAGCTTGGGCTCTAGTGCGAGACCTTCTCTCACCCCTCCCTGTAAACCATCTCAAATCTGGCCAAACTTTGTAAATAAAGGAGCTGGGTATATCTATATTGTTTTTTCTCTCCTAAATTGTTATATTTCATGTAATACAGTACCGATTTCTATACTGTACACACACATATACATACATGCTTCTTACTAACATAAGCCATTATTACAATGTCTTACTAGACTTTGAAAGCTACATATAAAATTGAAGTATATGTCCATTCTATAGACTACCAAATGCAAGTTCTGACAGCTCTGCTATTGTTAATGCAAGCTTGTAAGAGACAGTGATGGCTTTGCTGACTTAGAAGGAAGTGGCTCAGACCAGTTACAGCAAAGGTGGCAGGCAGGGCCATTCTTGAAGCACCTCTTACCAAGCTAGCTCCTCCATACACCCATGTTCCTGCTTACCTGTGCCTCTCCCTACATGTACAACACCACAGCACACATGGATTTTAGTGCTATCACTTTCCCACGTGTGGCTGAGCATAACTCCCCAATTTTAAGGACAAGAAGCATTAGCACTAAACCAGGTAAAAGGATTTGGGGAAGCATTATCTCTTTGTAGCAAAGCAGCAGTCTGGCATGGCATTGAGAGATTCAGGGACCAGTCATGCTGATGCAACTCAAAAGAGTTGGTTATCCTCTTCAAAACCCCTCATAGATCCCACCTGGAGAGCTGACAATGCCCTCTTGAGAAGAACTTTCTATTTAAACCTACAGGTCAGAGGGTCTGAAGCTCAGGATGAAAGTGTTATCTCAAAATACACTTTTATACTCTTTTGATGAGTACTCTAGAAAGATCTGACAAAAATAAGTGGCAAGTCACTGCCACCTTGCCCTGCTATGTGATTTTCACTCATATCCCAGTACATCTGTCACTAGCAAGGTGTTGACTGAGGGGGAAATCTGTGGCATTCACATTTTAGCATGAGGCAATGCTCTATGGAAAACTAGCCTTTATATTACCAGTCTTCCTGATCATCACAGACTGCAACAATCTTTTAGGTCAGGGAGCACAGAGCTCTGGACCTGAATCCATTGTATTTTAAGGCAAACATTTTGGACCAATATTCATTGAACAGTTTCTATCTCAAATGGAATGAATTTTAGTCTCATCAAAAAGGTTGGTGGAATTAGATTACTGTTCTCCAACATGAGGGGATCTTTAATATGAGAACCCATCAAGTCAATAACAACCTTGGTAAAACACAAGAGCTAGCGTGTATGGCTTACAAAGCACAGTTGTGGCTGACGCTTCCTTTACTTCTCAAGATAGCTGATGCAGTATTATTACATTCATTTCAAAGAAGAAGAAACCGAGGCTCAGAGAAATAAGTCACTTGCCAAGATGAAACCTGATTGGTAAGGCAGAGTGGGGCTCTGACCCAGGGTGAAGGGGGTGGGGGTCTGGATTTCAGTGAGTACACCCACTATACCCGCCTTGAAAGACCTGAGCCTGACTCCATGCTTGTATTTCCACTTTAAAAGATTAGCAGGCAAAAGACAAAGTGTTGGGACTAAAAACAATTTTTCTAACTTCCTCCAAGTGGGAGGGAAAAGCTAGGCTATCACAAGCATTCCATTCTCTTTTCTTCTGAATGGGATTGGCCGGACCAAGTGCACCAGTCAGAGATACTGCTATTATTCCAAGAAGATAATGTATTCATTCCTGCTGTGAGCCAAGTAACAAGAACCAGTCACCCCCAGTTTAGAAAAGTCATACCCAGAGCAGAGAGAGCCAGACAAAAGCACCTTCCAGTCCTGGGGAGGCGCCCAGAACTGCTGGGAACTTGTCACTACCTCGGCAAGAGTGATCCATCTTGTTGAACTGAAAGTAGCCGGACTTGCATTGACACAGAGCGACACCATCCAGGTCTGTGCAGATGGAGGTCTCTCTGTCACACTCTGGACTCTTCCTCTTGCACAAGCTGCCCGCTGGGAAGTTAAAAGAAGACAGTGAAACAAAACCAGACCTCTTCACATTGTAAGCTGCATTAACTTGCTATTTGAAAAGGCTCCAAGAAGAGTTTTCCAGAGTCCCCATGGAGCCACATTTTTCTGAAGTCCATGCTGCACAGTCTTCTGACATTCCTTCCCTGTGTCACCCCCCAGTAAACAAATGCTCCGAAGCATTCGCCACAGGGAAACCCAACTTAGGAGAAAAAGGCTGCCCTTCCTTCAGGGCCCACTACAAATGTGGCCTCAGTGTGGCATATTCTGTATCTTCATGCTAAAGAAGTAGGAGTGGGGGCAGCTGGGGGTGGTAGCTGGAACAAACCCCCCAAATGTGGCCATGTTCTTAGGTAGCTGAGAGACTGGGACTGAAACCAGTCAACACTGGTCAAATCCATCTCAAGTGGAAGCATATCTGGACTCTGTGTGTCTTCAACAGACCCAGGCCCATTCCCTGCAGTAGGGCAGCTTGCTGAGCTGACAGTACACTGCCCATGTGGGCTTATTACCAGGGAGGTACCAGTGGGACTGTGCTTGCTCACGGCTGGTGTACAGTTGTTTATCTGGTTGTCTTCCCACTACAGTGATGACTTCTCAAGGCTAAGTCAGCTCTGGGTCTTCAGCACCTTCGCAGAGGTGAGCAATGAGCATGTGCTGGAGGTGCTGCCAGCCGCTACTCCACCACCAAGAGAAGCAGGAGCAGGCAGGAAAGAAGCCTAGCCTCGGGCTGCTGCTACATTCATTCTAGGGCCTTATTCACCTCATGGATGGTCACCTCAGGAATGGTGACGAATCATCTTACTACCATCAAAAAGCACTTATTCTGTTAGGCAGATGGTCCTCTGTGAGGTTTTATACAGCAAGCACAATGAAGGTACATTTTACCATCCAAGACAGGACTGGCAAAAAGGCACATGTAAATGGGCTTAACAGAGAGAACAAAATCACGAAACTGACTGATATGGACATATCTATTCCAGGCAGTAAGGTAAGACGTGTGATGCTGCTACTGGGAGTCAGGAGCAAGTTCGACACCAGAAGATAGCTGTAATGGGATGGGCAATGTGTAGACTGTACAATGAAGAGTGGGTATCAACTTTTAGGCATGGTCTCTCTTTTTCAGAATACAGGTTCCAGCTGTTAACATTGTAAAATTAACCCTTGTCTGGGCAAATTCTGGTGAAGGGAGCTGACAATGGGGCTCAACAGTCCATGTGGGACTCTCAGCATTCACTCCTTTTGAGAGTTTTGAGTGCTGGGGCTGATAGCCTAGTCACAGCGAGGTAAGTTCAGGATACAGCTTCAATTCTCAATGCTGAATTTCCTGCCTTTATCAGTGGTAGCTGACGTGTTAAATCAGAGTTCCATTTGTATGTGTGATAGAATTTCCTTTGTTTATTGTAGAAAGTTTGTATTTAAGGGGAAACGTCTAAACGGAAAATCTCACCAGGCAAACTCTACAACGCTGGCACCAGGGAGGTTCTTGGCCTCCACAATATCTCATTTGAATTCTTTGAAGGCTCTGCCAGGCAACTAGCCTTAACCGAAAGACCTCCACGATGAAAAGTCCAGGCCACACCAGCCTTGTACAGGACCCAACCTGAAATGCCTGGCCTGATTAGATATTTTCTGGAAGCCAACATGTTTTTCTTCCATCCTGCCCATTGATCCAGGCTACTGGCAAATATTCATCACCATGGCAAGAAACTGTTTCCTGCCCAGGAGCAGATTCATGTGAACAAGGAGAGCAGGCCCTGTCCTTGCAATGAGAAGTTGCTTTCCTTAAAGTTCTCAAAGAACATTCTTCATAAATCCATCAAATAGAACCATGCAGAATCTCTCGTTTTAAGCCTGGTAATGTGAGTTTTCTACATTCACAATTCCCATGGTCTTTCCTGGGCATAACATCCGCCCAAATAGACAATGAACACTTACGTGAATCTAAGGCTAGGCATTCCATGGGGGATTTCCAAAGTCTCTAAAACCTCAGGAGACCATGAGAACTGTGGGTCTTGAAAGTTAGGGAAGTGGACATTCTGTGAACTGAAGGAAAAAAACCCTTCTTGCCAGTGGTAATGTCCGGAGCACCCCAGTGCTGCCCATATGCTGGAAACACTGAGATGTGCAGCACATGCTTAAATTACTAAGGGACTGAGCTGCATCTATTGGCAAAATCTGGAGAAAGTCTGGGAAGAAAAGCGGGGATGGGAGCCCAATTTTAGCCAATATGTATGGCTTGCTTTATTCTCAAGAACTTGGAAAGGAACAGTAAAAAAGGCCTCAGGATGATAGCTGCCTTCCCATAAACCATATCCAGACAGTTCAAACAATACAGATCAGAGAGCATGCAGAGCTGCCTTGAGGACTAATCTCAGTTGTTAACCTGATACACTTGAGAAGGGGGATCTGCAACTGAGGAATTTCCTGAATCAGACTGGCCTGTGGGCACATCTGTGGGGCATTTTCTTGATTGCTAATTGGTATAGGAGGGCATAGCCCACTGCAGGTGGTACTATCCCCAGGCAAGTAGGCCTGGGCTGTGTAAGAAAGGTAGCTGAATGGGAACCTGAGAGCAAGCCAGTAAGCAGAGTTCCTCTGTGGTCCCTGCTTCAGTTCCTGTCTTAAATTCTTACCCTAACTAACCTCAATGATGATGAACTATTATCTGGAAGAATAAGATGAAATAAACCCTTTCCTCTGCATGCTGCTTTTGGTCACAGTGTTTATCACAGCAACAGAAAGTAAGTTAAAACAACTGCTATGAACAGGCTCTTGCAAGTCCAAATGGTTTGGCTCCTTGATTTGCAAGCCTGGTTCAGTGCTGACCACACAGAGTGCAGTCCATAAATATTTAGTAAATTGAAGGGTACCTACTTCACTGGGAGGAAAAATGGTACCCTTGAGTCCTTCACAAGAAACAAAAACATGAAACCACAGAGCCTCAAGATTTCTAGCACAATATGGTGGGGCCTGAACTTTTTAACAAATATTCTAACTTCAGAAAGTTTAGTCTATTTTTGTCTTCCTCCCAAATTACTAACTAGCCAACCTCCAGTGTTTATCCCAGAATGAAAGGTTAAGTACCCAGCTCCCAAGCTCTGCAATGCACCTGCCCATGAAGGAAAGCTTTCAAGACTGTTATAAAATCCTGACCCACTAGGAATGTCCTAGACTGACCAGCAGATACAGTGCCAAAACCTGAAAGCTTCAATTTATATCCAACATCTAGATAGCAGATGGGGAGGTTTAGACTAGTCTCTGCATCCTTTGTCTGCCCTAATTGAGTGGTAAACTGAACTAGCCAGTGTCTATTTTGATTGCTTATGATGCACCAAACGGGACTAGTCCTCTTTGCCAACAGGCACTTCTGATTCTAGCAGTTTTCTTCCAGATGGGAAACTATCTCTATAAGATGCAAGTCTGCCTTCCAAACTTCTTGTTGCATTTGCCCTGCCCTAAGTGCACTGCAGGAGCTTTTGACAAAACAGAAAACAAAGCAAGAACCAGGAACGGCAGATCCTCATCATCACTGGACACTGGGAGCATTCTGCTCCACATTCCTTCAGTCTTATATATGTGTTTATGACGTGTAAAGAAACAAAAGACAGGTAATAATGCACATTTTTTTTTCTTAGTAATTACCATGATGAAGTTTTTTGGACCAGTGACAAAAATATACATACTAGGTAAGAGTTTCTGTCTTTCCAGGAACAGGAATAGTTTCTTTTTATTACATTTGCTCCTCTAGTCTCTTCCTCCCATCCCAGTACTGCTTAGAAGAAACCAAAAGAGCTGTATGCCAAGGACTAGGTGCCTGCCGTAAAGGCCATGTGCATACAGCACTGACATACCTGTGTGTCACAAAGGTACTTCATATTCACTGCAAAGACAGGCTCTATTCAGGTCTGTGTCCTGAATGCCTTCATTTCCCTCTAGGTCTATGCCTGTCTACATGGGCAAGCCTCCTCCCAGAAGACTACAGTCTCTCTTACCTCTAAAGATCCGCCTTTGAGACCCCAAGAGCTGGCAGACTTCAGCAGAAGACTTGCAGGAGTTGACATATTTCTGGATCCCATCAGCCAGGTCAAACAGTGTCACATTGGAGGCCAGGGCAAAGGTGGTTTGCAACGAGATCACTACCACACTGGGCTCCCTGTGGGCAAAGTCAGTGAGGCCTTAACTGACCTACAATGACATATGGGTCCCAGGCAGTTTGGAACATAAGCATCACTGTCATGCTCCAGTGAAGGAAGAGGAGATCATCAAAGTGCAGTGACCTCAGGCCTGAGTTAGCCAGTCACAATAAAGACTAGCTTTATTGAGGTCACCCATGTAGGAACAGCCTCTGGTTCCACCGACTGGTTCATAAGCAAAAACATTTCTGTTTCTTACCTAGATGCATGAACTGTGGATCGTATATAACCAGGTAATGCTGTAAAACACACATTTAACTGCAATGAAGAACAAGGTTGTTAGACAAAAGCCTTGGACCAAGAACCAGCTTCCAATTTTCAACATAAAATAAGCATGTTCCAGCCATCAGGCTACCAGTAGGCAGCTTTACACAGAAGCAGGGTCTCTTTTTTGCTCCTCCCCTAAATGCCTGTGTTGTTCCCTGAGTATAAAGGGAGTAAGCGAGGCAGACAGTAAACTAGTGGGGAAATCTCGGCAGGAAATCATGTTCAGAACAGCACCCCGGATGTAAAAAAATCTTCAAAGGAGCAGCTCTCTTCTAAGAATGAGGGCTTCAAAAAAACTTGGGCAACTATTTGTTTGGACCCTGCATAGTGAACTAGCTCACTGCAAAGGCCTGGTTTCTTTCTGCTTCCGCAGGTCTGATGGGTCTGCACAGATCCCTCATCATCTACAATGAGTTGGCCTAACTCAAAGACAGATCTACAAAGACTCTCCATGGGAAATTACATTACACGGGTCAAGAGTTCTTTTGTTGAGAACAAATTTAGAGGTATGTGCCTGAGTTTGACTTGTGCCCTCAGAGAGAACGGAAAATCCCTCTGCAACATCAAGTACAGTGCTTGCTTCCTTAACACCCCTGACAACAGGACCTGGAGATTCATTTTATGGGGAAATATCTTGTTTCATAAAGACCCATCTGTCTTCAAAGTCTCTGTTTCAGAGCCCTCTGATTCTTTAGAAAATGGAGTCAAGCATGCAATGTTACCAAATGCTTTCTGGTTTTGTATGACACTACTTTATATTCTAACGGCAATGGTTTATTGCAGGGATGAGCAGAAATACATCTTGGGAAAGGCCATGTTAGTGGCTTCCCCAGTTGCTGTTTAATTCTTGACTGTTTCTTGGGGGCAGGTGGGTCATGTTCCAGTAAATTATATAAGGCTGAGCCAAAAGATCAAGTTAGACAAGTCACTGAACTCAGAAACATGAAGAACTGTACCTCTACACATGTTCTAAACCCCTGAACTGTGTTAGAAAGAGGTATCTACCTACAGAATGACCAGGAGGAGGCAGTAGGGGAGTGACAGGAAGACAGAAAGCCCTGCTGTATAGTAAGGAATTTAACCTTGCCCAAAGAGAGGTCATGCCTTTGCCTTAGCAAGAGTTTCTAAACCCTTGGAGTATGCTGCCCAATAACAATGACTCGGTTTACCTGGGAGTCCTGGGCCATACCAGAGTCTAGCAATATGACCTATGGTGGGAGAACTATGGATAACATGATATCAGCTTAGCCTCTACAGGGTCTAGAGACTGAGGACAGCCACATGGAGAGTCAGTCATGCCTATATGACAAAGCCCAAATAAAGGCTTCTGACACCAAGGCTCAGGTAGGCATTACGGTTGACACACTCTGTGTATATAGTCATATATTGTCACCAAGAGGTACCAACACTATTCATGGCTCCACAGGGGCAGGACAACTGAAGATCTGTATTTGGAACTCTTAGAGACTGCCCCATGCAGCTATTCCCTTAGCAAATTTTAACCTAAGACCTTTCATTGCACTGAATCATATCTGTGAAGATGACAGCTTTGAGTAAGTTCTGACTGTCCTTCTAGTGGATTATTGACATTTGGAGAGGTCTTAGAAATCACCACACTTACAGTTAGTGTCAGTAGCAAGGTAATTGTGGTGGTTTGAATGAGAATGTCCACCATAGGCTCCAAGTATATGGACAGTTGGTGGCACTGTTTTGGGAGGTCTTAGAAGGTGTGTCTATGCTGGAAGAAGCACGTCACTGGGGACAGGCTTAGAGAGGTCTTAAGCCTTACCAGATCTTTCTTGCTTCCTGTGCCTGCGTGATGATGTGAGTGCTCTGCTCCTATTCCTGATCTTGCTCCAGCCACCTCTGCCACCATGCCTCCCGGCCATGATGGACTGTAATTCCCCTGGAACCGTAAGCTCAAATAAACTCTTTCTTCTATAAGTTGCTTTGGTCAGTGTTTCTATCACAGCAACAGAAAAGTAACTAATACAGTGACCTAGTAGACTGTTCTCCAATTTTGCTTCTGCTTTGTGTTAATACAGAGAAAATCATGACCTCCCAGAGCCTCCCAGTTTTCCATCTACAAAGCCATGTCACCTAGCCTCTTATAGGACTTGGCATCTAGCATAATCCTTATCACAAAGTAAATGCTCAGTAGACATATAACTGGAATTTAAATACAAGTAAAACCCATAATCCTGTAAGAACAATTCTTGGCTAATACATGAACTTTTACCTATATTTCATCCCTAACTTAATGGCAAATTTCCACTTCTGAACACCCAATCTTTGATTTGGTCTGACTGGCAAACAAAACGCACAGTCTGAGTTTCATTTTCATTTCTTCTTCACTTTTCCAATAAAAACAAAGACAAAGGACCCTAGATAATTTATATAGTTAAGTTCTCAAGCCCTAGGTAATCAGGATTAACACTGGGCCTCTGCCATCCCCTTAAGGAGAAAGACTATCAGCCTCCCCATGCTTTGAACACACAGGAAGAAAGTCATATCACGTGTCAACAGCAGATAAAATGCTAGGACTTCTCTAGGTCTTTCCTTTTCATCCATGGCCCTCAGCACCTCCATGTCTGTGAGTTTGTACAGGGAAAAGCAACACCATAGACAAAGAATGCACATGACCACAGATCTATGGATCGAAAGTAACATTCTTCCTGGGCACCACTAAATCTCAACACCTTTCTTCTATTTCCAAGTTGCTTTTCAATTTACCATTGAGTTTCCTTTCCAAATACAAAAGAAACGAAGAGGCCAGGAGATAATAAGTGACTCTAGGCTGTGCCCACTCTGATGAAATCTGTTCTGGAAAACAAAGGCTTAGCACGAAGAGGCCTCTCAGGAAACTTACTGTTTGGGTGATCTCACTTTCAACTTCATCAAGGTCTGAATGATTTTCCACGGTAGTGTTGAGAAAAGTTTTCTTTAATTTAAACTCCGTCACAAAGGTTCTAACTGAAAAGGAAAATGTTGTCTGTTAGACCATACAACGAAAAGATTGATGCAAGACTTTGTCTTGATTCTGGGCCGGCCAACCTTCCTCCCGCACAGGACAATCTGCATTTCCTTCTTCTTGAGGGTGGAGACCATTCCTACCTCTTCTAGGAAGAGGTTACAGAGGAAGAAGAGACACATTTGTAGTGGGTTTAGACTCCGAGGGGCTGAAGACTCCATGATTATAAGGCACATGGAACGACCCATATTAAAAACATCATTGGATTCAGAAATGGAAAAAAAGAAAAAGCATCCTCATTTTCAAGGCCCCTTACACTCATAAAAGAAATTTCTAGTTAACACAAATTTGTGCTGATTGGGCCTGAGGGGAATGGGACTTAAAAATGGGCAGAGAACCAAAAACTAGTAAGCCTGCTTTTATATCTGGCTCTTATCATTCATTATATTAAATTCATATCTTTCCCCCTGGACAGAAGAAACATAACCCAAAACAGAGAGGTCTAAGAAGCGATTCTTTCATGGAAAGCTCACATGCTGAATTAAGAAGGCTCACAAATGAGCCAGCAAAAACATTTAACATCTTATACTTAACTGTTGAAAGCCCTTAATCCTTATTTAACATCTTTTTGCTTGTTCTACAGTTCAGTGAAGCCAGCTGCTTAGGACTCTTTCTGAACAGCAGGGAGCTCTTTGAAAACATTTTTGGCCAAATGAAAGCATTTCAGCATGCTCTAATTTGCATGTTCCTCTGATGTGTATGAACAATGAAGCTAAATGACTTGAAAAGGGAAAGATGGTGGCTAACACAATGGGACTGCTTTCCTCCAGATCTGTGCTACCTGTGGGACACTCTGTGCATAAGCTTCCAGAACAGTTACCTCACCAGCTCATCTTCATGTCTCATGACCCAGACTTTCCATATAGAAACAGGCACAGTACAAGCATTAGGCATACAGTTTTCTGAAGGTGGCTTCTGCTTTTAGTGTGAATAAGATCATCAGTTTCCTTCCAACCCTGTCCTCTTTCCTGGAAGATTATCCCTTTGGAAGGCATGTGTATATGTATCTTTGTGGAGGTCAGGTTATGCCTTGCCCAGGGTAACTCCATTTTTCCAAGTACTGGACTATTTCATGTTGTGCACACAGACACTAACACCTGTCCAGCACCACCCATGGGTCACAGACTGATAAACTGATTCCTACAAGTAAGATGGTACCATCCTACAAACTTATCAAATTAAACTGGGATTGTATGAGCACATGGGCATACTAAAACAATTATTGGAAACCAGGCCTGAGAACTTATTAACACACACCTTGGACCAAACCTTCCTGTAGATCCTGGGAAGAGGAGGACACCTGACACTCTTGTGGTGATGCCTGCCCCCAACCTGGCATCTGACCACCCAGAAAATACAGGGACCTCCCAGGTCCCCAGGGCTTACTTGAGCTCAGCTCAGTCTCCACTACTGACACAGCCTATTCTGTCCATTTAGCCATCTGGACCCAGTCCTGCACCTTACCTCTAAGGCTTCCATGGCCCTGTGCTGAGCCTACACAGTCCTGTTCCTCTGTAGCTTGACTCAACTTAGACCCCAACTCAGCCCTTCAACTCTACATCAGCTCAGCATGCTTGGTTCCTTAATATCTCATCTAACCACTAAAGTGACTCTGCATATCTGTTTCAGCTTCCTGCTTCTGCCATTAGTAATGCTTCGTTAAACTGCTTGAACTCTGATGTGGCCCTTTTAGCCATTTTGTAGACATTCTGTAACACACACATATGCATATCATTATATATTTATTACTATTTTATAATTGTATATAAATATAATTATTGTGATGTATAATATGTGATCCAAGAGTTAATATTAGTAATTAAATTTGGAATAAAATAACCTGTGTTTGGCCAGGCATGGTGGAACACACCTTTAATCACAACTCGGGAGACAGAGGCAAGTAGATCTCTGTGAGTTAGAGGCCAGCCTGGTCTACATAGCAAGTTCCTGGCAGGCCAGCTGGGGCTACTGGGAGACTCAAGATAAAAAGAACTTGTGCTTGCCAATGGCCAGTTTTCAAGGAAAACTGAAATGTGGCAAATTGTAGCAAATGAAACAGAAGTAGTTTGTGAATTTATTGTTATTCAATAAATTCTGTTTTGTTGCTTGTTTATTTGAGATAGGGTCTTCCTGTAGCCCCAGCTGGCTGGAACTTGCTATGTAGACCACCAGGCTGGCCTCAATCTCACAGAGACCCACCTGCCTCTTCAGCCAGAGTGTTGAGATAAAAAGCATGAGCCACTAGGCCCAGAAATTCAATAAATTCTGATATTGTGGAAAGACAAATGTGTCCATGTTTCTGATAAAGTTAGTGCATTCAAGACAAGTTTCATGCCTGCAGTTACACCATCTGGCTTTAAGACAGGTTTAAAAGATTTTTAATTACATTTATTTATTTTCTTTCGTGGTGTGTGTGTGTGTGTGTGTGTGTGTGTGTGTGTGTGTGTGTGTGTTTGTGTTTATGTGCCATGGCACAAAAGTGGAAGTCAGAGAGAGAAGCATTTGTGGGAATTGGTTATTTCCTTCTACCATATGGGTCCCGGGGACTGAACGCAGGATTGAGCTTGGCAGTAAGCATCTTTACCGGGCAAGCCATTGTATCAGTCTAAGAGATAGGTTTTCATTTGAAATTTAACTTCTGACTTCACTATGTTATCTATATCATTTCTGGAAAGATCTGCAATGACTACTCTGTGTTCAGAGTAATATGTTTTTAAAGCTTTCAGTCTGGTGAAATGCTACTTCCCATCTGGACAACTCTTTACCATATTCAGAGCTTGCTCAAACAGATTATTTTATTTGACATTCATAGTAACCTTGAGTGAGAAGTAGAGCAGACTAATCTGATTTTACAGATGAAAAAACTAAAGCTCTGGTCATATGTTGCAGGTAGTAGACAGAGAACTAGAATTCAGGCTTTTGAGACCTGGTAAGTGTATTTCCTATAGTGCTTCCAAAAACAAACAACAAAAACATTTATATCTTCTTCATTCTTTTTTTTTTTTGTCTTTTTTTGAGACAGGGTCTCCCTATAGCCCGGTATGTAGACCAGGCTAGCCTCAATCTCTGATCGGCCTGCCTCTGCCTCCCAAGTGCTTGGACTAAAGGCATGTGCCACCACGCCCAGCTTGATCTTCTTCATCCTTAAGTTGAAAACTCTTGGCTAATTTCTTTATAGGCTGTGCCAACAATGGAACAGGTTATCTGGATGCAAATAAACTATTATTATTAATAAGAGGAATTCTTTATTTTGGACTCATGTCTACACTTGTAGATTTTTCTTTTTAAAAAAATGCTCCATTTTTTTCCATTTTTAAATTTCAAACAATTTTCAATTTTTTTCATTTTAGTAGGGTGCCAGTCTTCTTACAGTCCCTTGCATAGTTAAATAGGTGTTCATGCAGATAATGCTTCCAAAAGACACTGACATTTGTTCTCTCTAAAAGCATTTACTGAATACTTTTGTGTCTTTAGTATCACACTGGGAAATTTAACAGCAAGTAAGGTATTAAACCTAGTATCCTAACAAGGGGCATGCCCTGTATGCAAGAAAACTCTTACAATTAACATGGATAAAAGAAAGAACTAGGCTTCTCACAGACCATTACATATGCTCAGCACTTAGCATCTTGTCAGGGCCTAGTTTTCACTGGGTTTGTTTGTCTGATTTTTAACCTATAAAACAAAGAGTGTTTTTAAAAATCAACAAGCTTGGGCTGGAGACATGGCTTAGCAATTAAGAACAATGGTTGTTATTGCAGAAGACCTCGGTTCGTATCCCAGCACCCACATGGCAGCTAATAACTGTCCGTAACTCCAGTCCCAGGGGATCCAACAGCCTTGTCTGTCTTCCCCAGGCATTGCACGACATGGGTGCACCTACCTACATGCAGGCAATATATGCATACACATAAAATAAATAAAATATTTTTTTAAAAAATCAACAAGGTTCATGAAGCTATCAAATCAAGAACAAAATGTAATAGAGACTGTGGTACAATTATAGTTGCAGCTCTGTTAAAGTATCTGCCTGTGGCTAACAACAGGAAGACCTTTTTTTTTTTAATGAAAAGAATGTGTACATGTGGTAGGACAGTGAGAATTTGCTGCCTTTCTCACTCTAAAATGCTTTTAAAAAACCTATATAGTCAGAATATCTTTTTGATTTTTTTTCTTTACTGCAGAGTAGAATGGTTAAGCAAATAATGTTATACACAAACGATAGTATATTATGCAGGCTGTAAGATATTTATGCATGTTAATAACAGAGAAATTCTTACAGGTATCTTGATTTCAACTACGGAAAACTGTAACATACCTCAAAAGAAATTACAGAGTTGAATCTCAGAGTATTGGAATAACAGGCAATGTGTCTCACTTCCTTCTACATTCCTAAACTTTATATCTTGGATAAATATTGACTTTGATTAGGAAGAAAAACAGTGAACGTTATGGTATGAAACACATTGTGATACAGAATAAATTCTAAGACCGACTAACTTTCTTACCCAAATTGCATATGCCTTTTTCCAACTGATACCCAACTGGGCATTTGCAGATAAAAGATCCCTGAGTATTGTTGCACAAGGCCAGGGGTGGACAGGGATTCGAGAGGCATTCATTCACGTCTACAGAAGAAAACAAGACCATGATGAGTCTGTGGCAGACAAAAAAACAAAATCTGGTACATACTAAGAACTAAATGGCACTAGGTGCTGTGTGGCCCCAAAGATGAGTAGGAGACCACCCTCATCCTCAGGGGGCATACTAGCTCTTCAGGGCAGAGTCAGCCATACAAACAACTAACTATAGCATAAGGCAAGATTTGGATATACAAAGTAGTAGATTTTGACACAGGCGAGAATTAAAAAGACTGTTTTTAAATAACATCTGGATTAAGACCGAAGGGGCTTCAGTAAGTAGATCTGGGGGGAAGACTTCCAAGCTGAGGTGCCAGTACAGTAAATGCCAGGGGCAGGAGCGCACAGGTGTCTTTAGGGAGCTGTATGTGGTCCAGCGTGGCATGAGTGTAGGGAGGTTAGGAACAGAACCTATCAGAAGTCTGTCCACACCATACTATGGTTCTTCACATTATCCCACAGATAACACACAAGGATGCTGACACTCAAGAAGGCTATTAATTAAAAAAAAAAAAACCCACAAATCTTACCCATGAACATTCTGGAGGAAAAAAGGCTGACTGGATAACCCAATGTAACATTGCATTAGATGCTGCTTTCTCTCTTACCTACACTGCAGCTGTCCCCTTGCCAGGCAGGCGAGCACACACATCGATAACCACGGCCGGTGAGGTCCACAATGCATTTGCCACCATGAAGACAAGGGTTCATGGCACAGCCATTGACTAAACATAGCCCAGGAAGAACATAGGCAATGTTAGGGCAGCTCCAGGTAAATATTTAATTATCTCAGCTAATACTTGATTTTTGCTTATTTCTGTTTACTTGCCCTGAGAAACCACACTACTAAAATAGAATAGGATACCAAGAGATGCAAAAGACAGAGGTCATGAGACTGGGTATTGGTACCAGTTTGTGTCCATATGTAAGTGTTAAACAGCTGGATCCCTGAATGCCTCCTGCAGGCCACTTAGTTCAGGACTGACGATTATACTGCTTTGTGATAATTAGAAAATTCTACTCAAGTCAATCAATGACTGAGGTGGAAAGAATCCCTGGTCAATTTATCCTATCTGCTGCAATATTCATCCTGTGAGTGTAGACATGAATGCCCATGCACATGCCTTTCTTGTCTTTTCTCTTGACTTTGTCAAAACTACAGTAGCCTTTATCTGAAAATCTTGACATATATGTGAATTTGTCATTGTTTATGCTTTTTCTTTTTGAAACAGGTTCTCCCTGTAGCCCCAGCTGGCCTGGAACTCACTACGTAGACCAGGCTGGCCTTGAACTCACAGACACAGAGATCCGTCTACCTCTGCCTCCCACGTGCTTGGACTACAAGTGTGTCCCACCATGCCTGGCTTATGCTTATTTTTTAAAAATCTTTTTGACACAGGGTCTCCTGTAGTCTCAGTTAGCCTGGAACTTGCCCAGTGCTGGAACTAAAGTATGAGCCACCACGCCTCAAATTTACTATACAGTTCAGGCTGGCCTTGAACTCCAGATCCACCCACCTCTACCTCCCAAGTGCTATGGTTGTACCACCATGCCCAGCTTCTGAAAATCTTAAAATTTAACCTCCACGTCCTGCTCATCATCTAGAAAATTATCAACGCAGCATTACAATGTCCTCTCCTGTTTCTTTTTTTTTTGAGATAGGGTCTCACATAGGCCCAGTGGGTCTCAAACTCCCTATGTAGCCTGGATAACAATGAACTTCTGATTCTCCATCCTCCACCTCACAAGTGCTGGGATTATAGGTGTGCCCCACATACCCAGCTCTTTCTCTCCATATGTGAAAATGGGCTCCACCTGAATTCACAAGACTTATGACACACAGACTTTAATGTCACCACAAAAATCTTATTCCCACAGGTGATGACCACAACTCTGTTTTGCTTTATATAACTGGCAGGGTCATTATCTGTCTGCTGCAAGGTTTTTCTCTGTGTGCAGGCCTGAATGCACATATGCATGCCTTGCCTTTTCTTTATAACTTCAGGTATGAAGTACCTGCTTTGTAAAGGTTTCTGAAATACTCTTAGAAAAGTTAAAATCTACAAAACAACTTTATCATTTGCAATGGAAAAATAAGGAAAAAGAAAGACAGAAGTCAAGTCTTCCAAATGAATAGCCCTGAAACAAATGGACTAATCTGAACATGGTAATCTTACTCTTCATGGCTACCTTAACTATTACCTAGAATTGCCTATACGAGCATTGTACCTATATAACGAAACACCGACCATGAACACTGACAAGTCTACTAACATCCAGTGAGTAGCTCCCAACCCTCATCTACAGTAAATAGTTAACACTGGCTTTAAGGGAGTCTCATGAACCTGGTATTAGAATATATTTGGCCTGTGGAAGTGATGCCTTGAAGCAATCACCTTTCAGATCTAGACACATATAGACTGCTGGCACAAAGGGGGCACTATGGACTAGGAATGGGCTATGAGCCTGCAGCCCAGGGTCATCTGCACCGACTAGCTGAAGCTGTACCACTCCAAAGCATTTCTCTTCCCTTTTCTTCCTCAAGAGTCTGTCTGTTTCACTCCACTCCAATAGCAGCTTTGCTTTACTGGAAAACTGGACGTTACATTCTAATATATCACCCTACTTCTACCTTTCTTTAAGTGGCAAAGAATTGTTGGTTGGTTTTCCTCCTTTATGACAGCACCTTGAACACGGCTGTACAGATAATCTTATGAACAATTTAACTAAGCTCTGGTGGAGTAGTTACTGTGAGAAAGGTTAGTTTAACATCTTTTTTGTTTACATGTTTTTCCCCTGTTTATCAGTTAGCAACATATTCTTGGGGAGACAAAGGCCTCTGGACCTCCCTGAACAAGAGAAGCCTTTGACCCTGGGAAGCACCTTGATGACCAGAAAGCAGCTGAGTTCTTCAGAAGCTCTGGACTCACTTCTGCCTCCAACAGATCATCTAAAGCTTCCTTTTTCTTTTGTGATGCTGGAGCTCTTGCTGGAGAGCTTGTGCATGTTAGGCAAGTGCTCTACCACCACCGCACGGCACCCTGGACCCCCTAAAGTTCCTTTACTTCATTTTCTCCACTGCCCAAACCTACTCATCTGACCTTAGATGAGTTAAAGGCATGCTTGTAAAGCTTGTACAACTGCAGGGCATGAACGGCTACAATTATGTAATTTATGTTTGCCACGCAGAGCCAATGTGTCATCCTCTCCTCTTTCTTTCGAAAGACTCATATAACATGGGAGACTATTAGGAAAAAATTGGGGCCACTCTGATCTTATTTCATGCTTTATATTCCAATTGGAGGCACTTTAGGTCACAAAACAGACACTATCCCAAATTCTAGTCATGCCTACACATCCACAGGAATCCCAAGCCTCATGAAGCACTCAGTGTTGGGCAGGGCCTAGCAATCAGTATATGTTCATAAGATACACTTTACCTGGGGTTTGAGGTGACAGTGCTGCTGCTGACTGTGTGGTACTCTGAGCAGCAAAGGTGGTAGATCTGGTAGTCAACGCTTCAGTGGTAGAAACAGCTGTGGTTTGCGGTGAAGATGTACTGAGGAAATGTGAAACTGGCCTGTACTCTTCTGTATTGCTAAGACTTGTGGTAGACTCTTGTGCTGATGTAGGTGCAGTGGTCAGAGAGATCAAGCGAGTGGTAGGATCTATGTGCATCTGGTTCTTTTCTGTGGTGGTGGCACCATCTGTTGAGATTTGTGGCACTAGAATTTCAGGATGTGTTGGCAAGAGCTGTTTTCCAGTTGTAGTGTGGACAACTACAGGGCTGGGGACCAAAGCTTCTGTGTTTGACAGGGTGCTAGGCTTGCTTGTCGCAGGAGAGTGAATGGTCTGGGAAGTGGTGGCTGTCAAAACTGGAGACATCTGGGCTAAGCTGGTGCTGGTGGCTGGAAGGGCTGGCTTGGTGGAGGAGTCTGTTAAAGCTGGGGGCAATGGGGCCTTTGAAGGAAAGCTCATTGGTTTTGTGGAGTCTGTGGACAGAGACACCAGGCTTGGTGACTTGGCTTCTGAGAAGATTTTCTCTTGCTCTGGGGTGCTCTGGTTCTTGGGGTCTGCTGTTTGGTTACTGTGGAACACTGTTAAGGCTGATATCATTGTTGATGTCTGGACTGAAGTCACACGTGTCTCCCTTGCCCTGTGCAGGACTAGGGTAGAAGATGAAGGTGGGAAGGTTGTTTGTGAGACGGAATGTGGGGTAGGGGTAGACACTGTTAAAGATACTGGTAATGGGGATGGTGATGACGATAACGGTGTGGCTGCCTCAGAGGTAGACTTTAGTTGCTGTGTGGGAAATCTGGTTGATGGTAAGGTTGAGGAGAACAACTGCTGAGACTGTGACACTGAGGGTAGAGCTAAAGGGGTCCCTGAAGATGTGTCCCCAACAGACTCGGTATTGGCATCCAGAAGGATTAAGGTGTTTGGCATATTAACGGTGGATGTGTAGGATGGAGGGTTGGACTTGCGCAGAACCAGAGACTCAGTGGAGGACTGAGTGTGTTCATCATCGTAAGAGAGGTTACGTCTCTCAGTCTGAGTCTGAGAAGGGGAAGAATAATCTAAATATGGAGAGTTTGAGACCTTAATATAAGAAGTTGAGTTCTCGCTGGTGTCTGAAGATGAGCCATTGTCTGTAATGGACAGTAATGCCCTTTCTCCTTTGGTGAAAGTAGATGAAACATAGGTGTGGTCTGTGTGGTCACTGGAAGTCCTTTGCTCAGTGCCTGTGCCACGTACTTGATCATAGCTAAGTCCAGTGACTGTGAAGGGAAAAGCCAAAGTCAGGTCAAGTACATGAGAAACCTTTGAAACATGCATTAGAAAACACTGGTTATTCATGAACTTAAGTGGGGAGATACTTCCTTTGGAGAGATGGTTTCTAGGGGCAGCACTCTTAAGTGAAGACAATGCAGGAAGGCTAAAGTAGTCACCGTGCTTACAGCATCTTCTCCACGGAAGGAGCAGTGGTAGCAGGAATGGAAGCAGGAATAAAAGACAAGTGGAGACCCAGGGGGGCCTAAAAATAGGGAACAGTTCCAAATTCCTTCCACAAGCCCTTTTTGAAAAAAGCAAATTGGTATCTGAAAAGCCCAAGACCTCAAAAAGAATAACTGCCATGCTTGAACGGAAAAAGGAAAACCCTCCCAACTTTCCACTTGGTAGATAATGAGGTATTTCTTTCCCAGGAGATGGCCTTAACCACAAAACAACCAAAGCCACTCAGGCAGACCTCATCCCATATAGTGTGAGGTAATGGGGTGGGAGAACCCAGAAAGTTCTTTTCCTACAGAGCTGTAAGATATTTAACCATCCCAGGACCATGAGGCAGTCTAGAGGCAGCTGAGGGAAGGAAGTTGAGGAAGACACACCTCCAAGGGCAGCAGGCACCCCGGCCACTAGGCCTGCATGCTCAGTCACGTTTCCACGTGGAGTGGGTCGTGCAGGATGGGTCACAGCCCGTGAGGGGCTGAGGGACCGCAGTGTACGCTCCCCGCTTCTGGGGAGTGATGCTAAGGTGTGTGAGGTGCGCGCCCCAGAAGTGCTCTCCTCCAGGTCTGAACTGTCACTCAGCACCACGCTGTCCTCCAGGGCTGCAGGAAAAGAGTGACAGATAAATGTGGAGAATTGACACCGAACCTCATGTCCTGGGCCACAGGAACCCAGAAATTGCCCTGCCTTTCTCAAGGTCTCCATCTGCAACGATAACCCAAGAAGAACTGGGGTCAGTACCTCTGTTCACATGTCCTAGATTTATGCCAAGGATTATTACTCCAGCCAAAGAACCAATACTGAAATATGCTCAGTGATACATAGTTTTATCAGTGAAATGGGTGGTGGCAGCAGGGGAGGTGAACTGGTAGACAAAAGGCAACTCTGTTGGGGCCAGGTGCAGGCATTGGGGTCCTTCAGGGCCTGGCCTATAGAGTGTCAGTCACCACGTGCCCAAGAAATAGCATGGACGGATTACTTTGTGTTTTTATTTTTAAACTTTTACATCTATTTATTGAGTGTCCATGTATATGTGTGTGGATGTGCATATATCACAGCAGGAGTGTGGAAGTCAGGGGACCATTCTGTGGAATCCGCTCTCTCCTTTCACTATGTGTATTCTGGGTATTATGTCATCAGGCTTGGTGGTAACTTTACACTGAGGCATCTAGCCAGCCCTGTTTTAAACCTTTTTTTGTATATATATATATATATATATGTGTGTGTGTGTGTGTGTATATATATATACACATACACACATATATATATTTATTTATTTTTTAGAAGAAGTATTTCATTACAGCTTTAACACACTCAATAACAGTTTCCAGAGCAAAGATACATCTCTTTCAAGGAGGCCGTGGAGACCCCATGAGATGGACTTCAACCAGTGTCCAGTCTACAAAGATGAGGGTCAACATAGAAGAAACATTTCCTCCATGCTTCCAAGTGAAGCCAGCCATGGTTGAGCAGGACCTTTGACTTATCTTCACATAGCGGAACTGGTGAAGAAAGGAGCCAGGGGCTCCTCCCAAGCCCATGTGACTCCAGAGGAACAGATCCTCAAATGGCCTTAAGAGTAAAAATAAATTGGTTTATCTGGGCTTTAAACTTTTAATACAATTGTTCTATTTTGCTGATGGATATGGAATAGGGAAGGCAACACACAAATAAATACCCCCTTTTCTCCTTTTGTGGGGGGTGTTTCTATGTCGTATCCACAAATCTAAAGATGCTTAGATCTATCTTAGATTATCAGACTACCATTTTTTTTCATGATACATGTGAAATCCAATTCCTCTCAGCCTAAAGCCTTCCTAATTTGACTCTGTAGGAAAAGGGACTTTAATTAGTAGCTACTGAACTCTTTCTTGCTGCCCTAGCCACCTTGAGCAGAAGGACTATCAATCTAACAGCCAGCCAGACTATGTTTATGGCAGCACCAGTCTTAAAACAGCTATACCAGGATCACATCTATTTGCCCTTACTCCTGAGGGCACAATCCCAGGCAGGGCTGTTTCAAATAGTTTGTACCAGACTGTCAGTAATCACAGACCTTGATGAGCCATTTCTACCATGGCTAGAAGGGGATGGCTTCCCATGGTAGAGGGATCACTGTGACGAGAGCTAAGGGGCAAGGCTGTGAGTGGTCCAAAACAAACACCTCTCTTGGGCTATGTAACCAGGCTGTTTAGCTTACTCAGTTCTGCTTCCCCTTACTGATCTTTTCTTGTTACTTGTTTCAGGAGTACAGAAGAAAGAAGCAGCAGAGGCTGCAGAAAGCACTGGATAGCTGGGTGAGGGCAGTGCCAGTGGCCAGGTTACATCTGGACTGCTGAGGATCTCAGGGACACATTGAGAAGGGGCCTGGCACACCACTCAGTACTGCCCACAGCTACCTCAATGTATGCCCAGCCACTGCTACAGAGGTCCCAGTGGCCTTGGAGGTGTTAAGTCCAGCTTGTGTCCAATTTCAGATCCACAGTGCTGGGCTCCTGAACAGCTCTGCTTGTGACTGGCACCTGGTTCCCAAGCCCCAGGCTGCACCTTCCCAGTGCACAGTTTCAGCAACCATCTGCAACTGCTGTTTTGGTGCTGAAGAAGTGGGCGCTTAGGCTCCCCCACCAGCCGTGCCCAGAGGGACAGTAGTGGCCACAGCACTGGATTGCCTGCTGATCCCACCTGTCTTCTGGATACCACCCACCACTCAGTGGGTACAAATGCCCATGCCTGAGTAATCCTGGCAGCACCAGGCACTCAGTTCCTGAACAGCCCACTGGGGGCCAGCCAGTGGCAGGTACCCCAGCTTGTACCTAGGCTCCCCAAATACAGTCCAGACAGAGGCAGGCACCTGGATTAAGGTGGCCAGGGCAGGAAGAACAGAAGCAGATGCCACAAGAGAGAATGAGAAACTGGTGAAGGGTTGTAAGGAGCCAAAGAAGCCCTGTAGGCCCTGGTCATCAGAAGATCTACAGAGAACTGAAGTCTTTAGGGCTAAGGGTCTCAGATCCCAGGCTGAGGACTGTAACAGTGGTCATAGGGCCTACACAGGACTGCCACTCATCACGACTTCTGCCTGCCAACTGCCACTGCTACATGCTGTCAAATACTTTGGGAAACAAAACCTGCTGGAGACCAGAATGATGAGCTTCTTGTCCCCTCCCCCATGCTTTCTATCCTGGTATAGCAAAAGAACCCTCAGCTAAGAATCAACATGCAGACAGGACAGCCAGTGACCTAGAGCAACTGTAAGCCAGTTATCAGAAAGGTGACTTGCCGCAGGCCCAGGAGATGCTCGGATGCTGAGTCACCTAGAAGCTCAAGAGTCCCAACCTCTAAGACAATTTAAGACAAAGAGAAAAAGATACCGGGTAGAATTCTTAAATACTCTATTAAATGGAATTTCGGCAAACAAGCACATCTGGGTATAGGCTTGACAGACTGAAGGATTATGAGCTGAAACAGCTGGATCTGAACCTGGACTAAAGGATGGACTGAGAACCTTGAAGGCTGGCTGCTACAATCATCAGCTTTGACCGATTCATAGGCAAAAGATAAAGTGCTGCACTATCCCTCAGCAAGATCATTTCAGGAATGGGACTACTCCTTATCTAGCTTTTTTATTACCCCACAATCTGATCACAAGGAAATCAACTTTTTCAGGTGAATCAGCTAAGCATTAACTGTGGAGAGAAAGGATATTGAAGACATATGTATATGTATGTATATGTATGCTATGGAATCTAAGACTGTGTGTCAGGGACGCAGGACAGTTAGCATGCTTACTTAGCATGCCCAAGCCCTGGATTTACTCCTCACTACTGCCAATAAAGTGAAATGTAAAAAAGAACCTTAAAATCTTGGTTTGAAAAGGCAAAAATCCTGGAACCACATCCCATGGTGGACAGTGTGGAAAATGGTTTCTTCTGTTTAGGAGAGAAAGAACGTATTTCCCAGGTAAAGAAATAAAGAGTACATAGCTTCTCCCTGCTTGTGTTTTATTCATTTGTGATCAGATGCTTTTCCATTATGAGGCAGAATAATAAACCGCAATTTTCCTGATTCATTACAATTCTCATATGGAAGAGACAATGTTGTTGTGGAGAGGTAAGAATTTAAGCCTATTAAAAGCTTGACGATAAACATGTTTGCTTTGGTGATTACCTATTTACGCTGATAAGATTACTGGGAATTATCTTCAAAAACGTATTATTAACAGGGAATCAAATGACAACTGTTCTAAAATTGACCCATTAGACTTCAACAAAACAAAGACTTTCATACAATGACACCATCTAAAGATAAAAATGACACATGACAGAACGGGGGGAAGTGCTTGTAACTTATACATATGGTATATGGTATCCACAATATAAAAAGAGCTCTTCTGCTCAGTGATAAAATGAGAGCCCAGTCTTAAAAGTGGAGAGGGTCAAATAGACATTCACAAAGAAGATAAACACACTGGCAAACTACACAATATCTATTTGAGTAACTACACAAATAAATACTCAATATTATCAGTCAGCTGGAAAATGCAAATTAAAACTACCCTGAGATACCACTGACATATAGTTACTTTAGAAAATAGTTTGACAGTTTCTCAGAAGATTAAAAATGGTGTTACTAGGGGCTGGAGAGATGGCTCAGCAGTTAAGAGTGCTTGCTGCTCTTCCAGAGGACCAGAGAAGTTTGGTTCCCAGTACCCACAACAGGTGGCACACAGTTACCTGTACTTCCATGTCCGAGGGATCCAATGCCCTCTTCTGGCCCTGCTGAGCACTCACATAGACACAGAGACACACAGATAAAAATAAATCTTTGAAAATTGGTGCTACTACATAACCTGGAAATTCCAAGGTTAATTCCTGGTAATTCCATGTGCCAATGAAGTCAGCCTGGTTTACATAGCAAGTTCCAGGCCAGCTAGGGATACAGGGAGATGCTAACTCAAAGAACCAAAACAAAAAAGTTTCTCATGTGGGAGACTAGGGAGATGGTTCTGCTGTAAACTGCTTGCTAAGCAAGCATGAGGACCTCAATTCAATTCTCAGCATCCATGTAAAAAGCCAAGTGTGGGGACAAGTTCCTGTAATCCCTACACTAGGGAGGTGGAGACAGCCTTGTCTAATTATCAAACCTCAGGTCCAAGTGAGAGGCCTTGTCTTAATAAGGTGGATGGCTCCTGAGGAACACCACTACAGGGTTGACCTCCAGCCTCTTTTCATGCTCATATGTGTGTCTGTGTGCACCGGCATAAACACACACATACACCCACCACAAAGGGAAAAAATGTTTCTGAGATGTACCAGGAAAAAGATGGGCCATGCGGGCATATCTGTGTTAATCAGTTAGGAGAATGATCAGGGAATAGCAACACGAGACTGGTCTAAGAAATTACTTTATTAGTATGCCCTGTGGTATGCATCTATGAAACAAAAAAGCTTACCTGAATGTTCTCCTCGTGGTGCTGAGGAATCTGGGCTTTCTGAGGAAGACGAAGATGAAGACTCTGAGTAACTTCTCTCACCCAGTCCTGTGTTATCCACTCTAGGCTGTTGAGCAGAGTCTAAGAACTGAGTCAAAACTGAAGTGTTCACAACTTCCAGATGCAAAGCAGAGCTTTCTGTCACATCTTCAGGTGCTTTGTTTTTGGCCCAGAACCAGGATGCTGTGCTCTCTCCATCTCTGAGGGAGGGGACTGACCTAAATATGGTCTCGGTTTGAGGCCCAAAACTTCCATTTTCTGCCTCAGAACTGCTGGCAAGCTGATGTCCAAAGGCTGTAAGATATTACAGGGGAAAAGGCCATCATGTGCATAGGGAAAAGAGACTCAACAACTAAGAAGTAAGTCCCCTCTAAGGAAAGATTCCCTGTGCCAAGAAATCCTGTAGTATTTATATGAATCAAGTGATGCACATTATCAGAATCTAATGTTTTTCAAATTTTTTGGTTGTCAGCAATTATAGTAATACTAAAAATAAAAGTTGATGAGGAGACTTTTAAACAGCATGTGTAAATAGAGTAATTTATAGGCTTGAGTGTTTCTTTTTGTCCCTTGAAAAAGTAGTTCAAGGGAGTCATCATATCCAACAAATATGTTGTGCATAAATATAGTAAGTAGAGCATTTTTCTGAAGCAGTTCCAACATTAATAAACATTATTCTACTTCTGAAGTATAACAAAATAAACCATAAGGATTACACCAAACCATAAATTTAGGAACTATATTTGTGTCTGTACACCTGTTTATAAAGATGGTCCGTACATAAAAATCACTGAAGCTAGCTATAAACAGTAGATCAGTTCTCACTTTGAAGACTTTGCTGTAGAGTGAAAGAAGATGGACTCAACTCTCAACTGTGGGAGAGTCCAAGGCTGAGGTCTCCACTCTGTTGAGTGAGCTAAGTAGCTGTGCATGTTTCACTTAAGCCTCTGAATCCCAGTGTCCTCACCTATAAAAACACAGGAGGGATAACACCTGTCCACACCCAAAGATTAAAATGTAATAGTGTGATATACTGGATAGAGGAGTTCGTATCGACAAGGAACATGCTTTTCTTCAGAGATTGTAAATGGTCTTGAAGAGATTGCCTAAGAAAATCCAATACATAAAAATGTCCAACAGATCAAGTAAAGGTAGAGTACTTACGTGGGGAATCACTTTGCCAGTCTAAAGACGTAAGTCCAAATTCATGTTCTGTGGATGGCTCAATGACATCTCCTGGATTCCCAGCTAATCTACTGTTTGTCCTTGAGTCTACCATGGTGGGTGAAGAATGGACTGAGGCTGATGCTGTGGCAGTTTTGGAGCCCTCAGGGAAACCCTCTGTCTCATTTATAGGCTTCATACTGACAGTCAAAGACTGAAGCGTTCTTGGGGCACCATTAGTGAATGTGCTGGCAAGATGTGAACTCTGTGTCTGGGTGACGGATGGGCTTTGGAGAGCGGTGGAGTTGTTATGCTTCTTTGTACTTCCAGAAGCTGAAACAGAAGAAACTAGGCTTCAAAACTACTCAAATTGTAAGAAAATTGAGGTTCTGCCAAGGTACAAAAATATTTATTATATTTTGATATATATATCTAAATACTGTGGATGCAGTAGAGATACAGACATTTGTATCACGTTTACATATGCATGTGCAATCAGGAACACACCTCTGCTTTCCCCTCACCAGTTCGAATTCTCACAGAGCTGACTGGAGACAGTCTGCTATCCCTTACCAAGCACAATGAAAAGCTTTCTGTGCAAGCTAAAAGGAAGATGGGAGAAATCCAGACAAATACATCATTTGTCTTTTTTTTTTTTAATAGAGCAAAATAAAAACTGCTACTGAATTCTACAATATAGGAATTTCACAGTACAGGCCACCACCATAAGGCTGTTGTTGCTGTTTTATTTTCAGCCATGCAACTCTTTTGTTCAAATGCTATTGTAGACTAAAATCCAGTCCATAAAGTGAACCCAATATGGGCCTAGACATGGTGTCCAATCCCTCAGTCACCACTAGGGCCCTGCAGAACACAGGATACTACTGTCTGAAGACAACAGTTCCCAAGTCTTGGCATTGCCAAAGGCTCTTTTATATTCCCTAAATCATAGCCACCATAAAGCTTATCCTTTGAAAGACTATTTAAACTGTATTCATTAAGTAACCAACAGGAGATGCTTTTTATTACTCCAGGAATTTGTTTAATTTCACCCAAAAGAAGAGAGTTACTATTGTAGTTACTTAGTCTCTTTAAGCCTTAGAGACCAGCTTTCAAACCAGTATCATACTCCACCTCCCCATCACCTCCAGGACCAAGGACTCAAGGCTGGGAACAGTTGTTCTGATCAATGGATGGTAGTCCTTGGATAACTGTCAAGAACCTCAAGAATCCAGTTATATACCCTGGTCAGAATACATGGTATGTCCCACATTATAGACGTCTTGCTGAGAGCTTTCGTCTATAAAAAACGTTCCAAGGATACTTTGAGGCATGATCTCCAGAAGGATACATTAAAACCCTGATGCCATGTGGCTGAGGACCTAGCTCAGTGATAGAGAGCTTGCCTAACATGTACTAGGCCCTGGGTTCAAGCCCAGCACCACAAAATATCCTCTCCTTGCTCTAAGTAAGAATAAGGTACAGGAAAGCTTGGTGGGCACAAAGAAGCAGCAGGCAGGAAAGAAAGTACTTTCTTCCTACCCCCCATTTTAAGCCAACAACAATAAAAGTACTGTACACCTATATAAAGAAAGGCTTCCAGCAGTTAATTATGACCAGAAAAGTGGGAAAAGGAAATTGCCATTATAAATAGTTCTTCGAAGACCAGTTTTATGTGCCATTGTGACTAAAAGTACAAATAAATTGTAGAGAGAAAGAGAAAGCATAGGAAATACGGTTCCTTTTATTCTGCAAAACCACAGACCCACCTATACCTAGAGCCTTTCTGCTGCTCGGTTCACTGGATCTTAGTGAAAACAAAATGCTGATGCAGGCTATCCATATTCAACAATGGAATAGAAAAATCTGGATGCAAAAACAGCCACCACACCCAACCCTGCTGGAACACACACAGACAAAACAAAGTAAAACCCAATTCTGTATAAGAAAGGAATAACATAAATATGTCCCATAAAGTATTCCCATCAAATTACTTTTAAAACATAGTTATTCCTAGTCAACTGCATTATATCATCTGTTCGATATTCCCATCAAAACACAGTAGTGATTATGCAGAGTTCAGCTGGGATAATCCAGGCCTGTCCACTGGAGTGGTTTATCACTAAATAAATGGCCACAGAAATACAATCACAAAAGTTCACAAATGCTAAGTCACTAAAAGAAAACAGCTTTACTTTTCCCCGATCCTAAGGGCTCTGCAGAACACTGGTCTTCCATCTCACTACCCATCATCATTATAACAAACTACTGTGGATGGACAGGATGGCACATGCTGTAAACTTGGGAGGCTGAGACAAGGGGATCATGTATTGGAAGCCAGATTGGTCTGCACAGCAAGTTCTAGTCCAGACCTGAGCTGCTGAGTAAGACCCTGTTTCAAAACAGAACAAGTCACCAGGAATTGCTCAACCACAATGCCCCATGCACTGTACTGAGTACTTAAATATGCATCACATCTAATCCTCACAGTAAAGGAATGAAAACTGCATAACACTTTGCAAAGTACAGTTTCTTAATAAAAAGAGGACATACTAGTCTGCCTAGTCAACAGGCACTACTTATGTTATTAAATGAGTGTCTATTACATAAATCTAGGAGGAAATTTACTAGCATTTCTGATCAGTAGGCCAGTATTAGTGGCCACTGAATAACTACCATACCTGTATCACTTCTACCATGAAGCTGTCATTTAAAAATGGGAAGATCAGGCTGGCAAGATAACACAGCAGGTAAAGGCACTTTGCTGCCAAGCCTGACTTTGATACCTGGGTCCCACATGATGGAAGGAGAACTGACTCCTACAAGGTAGCCTCTGATCTTCACACATCCACATGCACGCATGCACTCATGAACACACATCCACACATTAAAAAACAAATAAATGTAATAAAAATTAAAATGAGGGGTCTGGAGAGATGGCTCAGTGGTTAAGAACACTGACAGCTCTTGCAGAGGATCCAGGTTCAATTTCTAGCACCTACAAGGTGGCTAACAACTGTCCCTAACTCTTGTTCCAAGGGATCCAATGCCCTCTTTTGACCTCCATGAGCACTGCAAGACATACATGCAGGCAATACACTCATACACATAAAATAGAAATAAAAATAAAATATTTTTTAAAAATTAAAATGAGAAGACTATCCACTGGGAGCAGGCTCTAGTTAGGGTCCTAGTCTTTATAACAGTTTTGGGAAAGAATGCCTGCTCACTTGATGTGAGCATCCTGTCACTCTCCAGTCATAGGACAAAACACCAGGGCTTCAGATAACATCAGAATGTCCAACCTTGACAACTAGCCCGAACCCACCAGCAGTACAGCTATAGCAGCTGATATTTGAGAAAGACAGGCTCAGTCCACAATATTCTGAGTTATTTATGCTCTCTACTTTTAGAAAGTGAAATCACCACAAAGCAATTTACCTGGACCACATCAGCTCAGCTCAGCAGCCCACAGAAAGACTTCTATAAATTGAGATCCATTACTATGCCCTCAGCTCTTACTGAATCTCTATAAAATATCACCTTTAAAAAACATTAGCACAATTCCCACAAATCAGCAATTGAAAGCATTTTCCTGTTATGACTGTCAGCATTCCTCATATAAGTATTCCACTTGGAATTTACTGCCCCTAAAACATTTATGCCTATGGATGAAATTGTATGCTTATGACGTCATCTGACAAGAATCACATGCCTACCCAGCTTCTCTTTGTGTCCTGGTTTCCAGGAAGCTCATACTAAATTTAGTACTCAATTGTAGTCACCTCACACAATTTTATATATATATATATATATAATATGTATTTTATATATATTTTTTTTCTTTTTGCCCTCAAAAGACAGCTCCCCCGCCCCCTGCCATTTGTTGCTTTGCTTACTTTTCCCCCTCAGTGATCAAACAGCAGCACATGAGCATCAGAAAATATGGAAAGTCTAGAAAGGCACAAAGTAGGAGAAGATGGCAGGTGGCATGGAAAATCACTTCAAATGTCTTCTGATCTCTTTCGTAAAATCTGGTTCTTCTATCTGGGACCTGCTTCTGTAATGCATACAAATTCTATTTGGAAGCAGATCATGTCTAGCTGTCCCCAGCTTGGACGAGGCTGTGTTGAAAACATGCATCTTAGCTAGGTAGGAGTGAAGGAGGCCCAGTCTACACAGGCTGAGTGTGTGTAGACCACCAGATGTTGTACCATTTCAGATCACCCGATTCCTGTTTCCCCCGAGAAACCCTGTCCCATATTCTCCCCAGGCCCCTGGCTTGTTATCTGTGTGCATGTCTTGTGAGGAGCATCACTAACCTAACTGGTCTAAGTGGTGGGCTTTTCCTTGAGTTACATTACCAGAAAAAGCACAAGTCCCCCTCACACTCTTTCACTTCTCTTTGTCTCCTAAGCTGGCCAGTCAGGCAGGCTGACTTCTGCTTGGGCAGATCCTGAAGACTTGCATTCAGGAGACAGAGAGGTATACAGAGCTTGCTTGGTTGGCTGGCAGGTGCCAAAGCAACTTTAAACATTCAGCATATCCTCTTTGGTTCAGGTTCTAGGAGTGTGTCCTTTGCCCCAAAGTCCTCTCTAGCGATCCCTCCACAGGGTGGTCTGCCTCTACCCACAACAGAACACCAGGTCACTAAGGAAGAGCAATCCTTAGTAAGACTAAAGGAATATGAAAGTCAAGGTGAAAAATTAGAAGTGGAAAGTTTTAGGAAGACAAGTACACAAAGAACATGACCACGACGGTCAATTACCTTTATAGTGTTGAAAATACAAAGAGAGAATTGGATCCAGCAAAGTTAGAAACATGGGTTGAGTTTCAAATACACCACAGTACTGCGTTGAATTAAAATTATAAATATTGGGCTGGAGAGGTAGGTCAGTGGTTGAGAGCACTGACTGCTTTTGCAGAGGATCTGGGTTCGATTCCCAGCACCCACATGGTGTTTATGAACCATCCTTAACTCCAGTTCCAGGGGAATCCGAAGCTCTCTTCTGATCTCCATGGCACTGCATGACACAGGTGCACTCACATACATGCAGGCAATACATTCATATACATAAAATAAAAATAATAAAATTTTTTTTAGTTATAAATATCAAAGGACCCTGACCAGAATCAAGGTAGAACATCCTAGGAAATGCTTCCTTTTCTTCATTTAGCAAAGTTGGTTGTAAGTTACAGAGAAAAAGAACTTTGGAATTGCACAGATTGTAGCTTTTGTCCAATCCAATCAACACATATGAAGAGTCTTTAATTTTTAAATTTTTTATTTATTTTTATTTTATGTGTATGAGTGTTTTGCCTGCATGTATGTAAATCCACCCATGTTGTGCAAAGTCCACAGAGGCCAGAAGAGGGTGTCGGATCCCCTGGAACTGGGGTTACAGATGATTGTTAGCCACCATGTGGGTGCTAGGAATCAAACCTGGGTCCTCTGGAAGGGCAAACCAGTGCTCCTAAACACTGAGCTATCTCTCCAGTCCCAACACTTAAGAATAATCTTAAAAAGCAATCTGCTACAAACTTGAATCGTAAATTATATCCATACTCACAAGCAGAAAACTACACAAAGTGCATCGAAGAGTGACTGGCAACTTTAAACAGGTGCTCCAGAGAGGGCCCCTGGACTCAGTTTTTGCTTTGATGGCATAAACCTAAACTCCAAGTCTGGCAAAATACTTTTTAAAACCTGTGACTTACTATTAGGAAAGGGACATACGAGCCCCTACCTCTCACTGGAGCTACTGACAGCTGATGCTAGGGGAGGGAAGAGTCCGTTTTCTTTAGGGTGTGGTTCCCGGTAGGCTGACCGTGTTTCAGTGGATGGCCCCACACCCATGTGTTTATGGACCATGAGGACTGGACTCAGTGAGCTATCAAAAACCAAAGGCGGGGGTGGGGGGGGAGCTAGAAAAGACAGTTCAGCAGTTAAGAGCACTGGCTGCTCTTGCAGAAGACCCAGGTTCAAATCCCAGCATCCACATGGCAGCTAACAACTGTCTATAACTCCAGTTCCAGGGGATTTGATGCCTTCTCCTGACTTCTGCAGCCATTGCATGACATGGGTGCACTTACATACATATAGGCAATATACTCACACACATAAAAATAAAAATAAAATTTAAAAAGAGGACATGGAATTGGGAGGGGGAGATGAAAGGGGATCTGGAAAGGGTCAAGGGGGACTGTGAGGGGAGAATATGATGGAACCACACTTGTAGTAAGAAATTTCTCAAAGAATGAATAAAACTATATTGGTTTTTACCTCTGACTGAAAAGGGTTTTGAAAGGGCAGATCCTGCTGCTCTCTGTCCTGCTTCCTACAGCCTGAGGCAGAGAGGAGCAGCTGGTAGCATCCCTTTGGCCTGGGGCAAGATGTGCCCTCTGAAGGGATTATGGGTACATGTGACCCTCCAATATTATTACTATTTTTAAAATACTTTATTTATTATTTTTATTTTATGTGTATGAGTGTATTGCCTGCATGTATGTGAGTGCACCCGTGTCGTGCAATGCCGCGGAGATCAGAAGAGGGCTTTGGATTGCCCTGGAACTGGAGTTAAGATGGTTCATAGCTGCCATGTGGGTGCTGGGAATTGAACCCAGGTCCTCTGCAAGAGCAGTCAGCGCTCTTAACCGCTGAGCCATCTCTCTAGCCCCAGATATTATTACTATTTTTTGAGACAGGGTTTCACTATGTAGCCCTGGCTGGCTTGGAACTCACTACGGCTAGCCCTGAACTCACAGATCCACCTGTCTCTGCTTCCCAAGTGCTGGGATTAAAGGAGGGCCACAACTGGTGACCCTCCAATTCCTGATACTGTTCTAGAAGTGTCCACAGGAAGATTACAGTCTCTGGGCAGGTAGACACTGGGTGATCTGGTATGACAAAGTGTGTGGCACAGAGGCCCAGGAGCGTGAAGAAAGGCTCACGGAATGGAATACCCAAGCTGAGGCTGATATGGAGAAGTGGGATGGCAGAATGGGGGAGAGGAGAGGTTGCCAAAGACATAGGGCCTAACACAAGTCTTGCAAACACCTCTACTATGTAGGGTTTTTAAAAAAATATGGATTTTCAAAATGATGTCAGGAAAAATTATGTCCATATTTTCTTTTCCCTCAAAGAAACTGCTCTTGGAATAATGAAGAAACAAGATTCAAAGTACTAATCAAATGGTGTCAAGCTCACCATTTTATTCAGACGCCCCAGCACATGACCTCTTGTGTAAACACACACACCAGTAACACTTAGTCTATATTGTACTTGTATGGGGGAAGGGAGGAAAAGGAAAGAGGGAGACAGGAAGGAGGTGGTAGACAGAGCAGTCACCAGCCATCTGATAGTCTCCTCCTTACATAGTTAAAGAAAACATATTCTGAACATATACTGAGATAGACTACACAGATTATACTTCTACCAGAAATACTTGGCATTATAGGAATGGTTTTTAGTCTTCTTTTGCTTATTGTTTTTACCCTTTAACCCCTTATGGTTCTTAACCAGCTAGTTATGCACATTAATTTGTGGCTATTTTAGATGGCTTTGGAGAGGTGAGCTGGGGACTAGAGAACTCACATGAGGGATGGTCTGAGGAAGGAGGATGAGTAGGAGTCTGGGAGAATTGCCACACAGAGGGATCCAGGCCCAAATAATTTCTCTTCCTTGAGGGCATGCTTGGCTCTCTGAGCTCCCGTGAAGGAAGGGAGGACTGGCTGGAAACCAAAGTGTCAGTCACTTGGGTGTGCACAGTCCCTTCTTCTGGGAGCCCCCTCTCCCTTTCCAAGAGGCCTGGGGATGTTCCGCTTTCTGTGTGAGAATGGGCCATTCTTTCTCCTGACCCGGAACTGCTGGTTGACAGGGGAAGTCTTTCTGAGGCTGAAAGGAGACAGGAACAATTAAAATCCAGTGGACTTCCAAATGTCTCAATTTCTAATTGGCTCAACTTTGACTTCTATAAAATATACAGCTATGAGGGAAAACTAGGAGGAATTACTCATTCTAGGAAAAATGAACTGAAGGAGAAAGCACAAACCAAGCAAAGACTCTTTTGACCTCTCACCAAGGGTCTACTCTGCAGGGGCAGATTGGAGCTAAGCATTAGACTATCTGGAATTAGAGATCAGTGTTGGATCATGAGGACTTACCCTTCACACTTGACAAAGTGGGGCACAGAATGTACCGGAATTCAACACAGACAGACTTCCCAACACTGGATGATCAGTCACACCAGTAGAATCATGCTCAGGATTTCTGCACCAGTCTGCTTTCAGTCACCATTCATGAACAGAACACAAGGTACATTCATATGCTTCCCTTACGGAACTGAGTGCCCCGAGCCAGACCTTCCAGCAGGGTGAGGAACCAAGGTGTCATCTTGGATGGCTTCAGCCTCTACTTTTAGGTCCTTATCAATGATCAACTTTTCTTTGTTAAGAATCTTTTTTTATTTTTATTTTTTCAGACAGGGTCTCATGAAGCCTAGTCTGTTCTCAAACTCCCTATGTAGCCTGGATAACAACAAACATCTGATTCGCCATCCTCTACCTCCCAAGTGCTGGGATTAAAGGTGTGCCCCACAAAGCCAGCTGGGATGACATGTGGGTAACACCATGTGTGGTTGACATAGTGCTGGGGATTGAACCCAGGGCTTTGTGCATGTTAGGAAAGCTCTCTATCAACTGAGCTACCCTCTCAGCCCTTCCTTTGTTAACAATCTTTACTAAGCAGTTTTTCACCACCTAGTCACCTGGCCAGCACCTTGTGTAGATGTTTACCAGCTCACTTTAGGGCCCCTCCATTTACACATTTTATAGAGTAGCTTTCAGATGACTCTTCCTCAAAACTCCTGTAACACTATCACTCCATTGTGAAAAATCCCCCACACCAAATAGAAAGTGCTTGGTTTGCAAAGTCCTCCATGACGTGCCTCCACATACCTGTCCTGCCCACTGCTCTAATACCCAACTTACACCCTCCCCTGGGGAAGATGCTAGCCCTGTGCCCCACAGAAGGTCATGGGCTTTTCTTTCCCTTGTATCTTTGCTCACTTTGGGCATCTCATTCCTCAGCTGTCAGACTTAGGTTGAAATTCTAGCTTGGAAACCTGCCATTTGCCCTCCATACACTAGGTTAATTAGTCTCTAAGCTTCAATTTCCAAATTCTTAAAGCAAGGATAACATGACCTCACCAGCCTGCTGTAAGAACTGAGAGAACAGACATGCTGCTGGGTAGGTGTGTACCTAAGTACCACTAGTTTTGTCTTCTCTTCCATAGTTAAGTGGTACTCATAGAGCCCCACCCCCTTTCTGAAGTCTTTGCTGAAAATACCAAGCCACCAAGCTGTGCAACAACCATTTGAACCCCATCAAGACAAACAAAAGCTTGGCCATCTTTCCCAGCCCCTAAGATCCGAGTGTGTTGGCAGAATCCCAGGAGGAAAGATAAGGCTTAGGACACAGATGATGCAGAACCAACCAGGACACTAAACAAATCTGCACCCTCCTCTGGTCTAACTTTATAAGCACAGCATGGATGAAAGCTTAAGTCACAGGTCTGATCCACCCCTGAGCAAGACCCCAAATGGGCACAGTTGCTGGGGATGGGGGGGATGGGAACGTGGCAGAAATTTTGTTTTCTATGACTGGACATCCATAAATGAGCATCATCACACAAACTCACAGAAGGAGCTGCCCTGAGAGGTCAGAGCTGTTGTGATCCCAGGTGAGTGCCCAACAGGCAAAATGGTGATGTTTGTTCTGCTTGAAGACACATGTCTGCTCTCAGCACTTGCCGTCTCAGGTAGGAGAGAGAAGATTTCTGGGGCTTCTGAAGAAGTGTGGCTCACTCGGATGGTCTGAGCTGGTACACCCTTTCTGGAGCCCACTGCTGAATGGTCCTCTTGACTCTGATAGAAGGGAGTATTTCCCATGTGGGGGGCAGTGTTGCTACTTTCTGGCCAGTAGTTCCTTGCAGCAGCTGAAATAATATGCAAATGCATCAGTGAGAGCTCAATGGCTTCTGGAAAGGAGACCTCCTGAAAACCTTTCCCATCGCCAGCAGACCATATGAGGTTACTGCTGACTGAGTGACTTCTTAAAAACCCCATTTTGGGGCAGCTGGAGAGATGGCTCAGCAGTTAAGAGCACTTGTTGCTCTTGCAGAGTACTGGAGTTCAGTGCCCAGCACTCACATGGGGGGCTCATAGACCTGCACCTCCAGCTCCAGGGGATCCCATGCCCTCTTCTGGCATTCATGAGTACCTGAACATGTGTGCATACATGCATGCAACATACACACACAAATAAAAAGTTTAAAAATCTCTTAAAAATCCCGTTTTATTTTTCCCTATTTGAGAATATTTCTCTTTGTGCTCAGGGTTGAAGGCTGTGGGACCATGGAGAAACACCAGTGGGAGGTAAATGAAGACACTTCTATATTTACGAGCCAAGGCAAAATGTCAAATCATCTGATAAGCAGAGACTGCAGGCAGGCAGAACTATCACTTGTATCTAAATATAACACTGTGTCCTTTTGTGTAAAGGACCAAGTTATCTTTTACATTAGTATTGCCCAAAAGATGAAGTGAGCAACATCCACAATCCACAGAAACAACTTTAGTAGCCAATTTTTCCTCCTGGAACAGGGACCTCTGGCTGACTAGATTTACCAGAAGGGTAGATGGGGGGAATGGATGGGGGTGCTGACAGCACAGTGGACAGTGGCAGGGATGGCAGAGTATGGAGGCTCTAGTGGGAGAGGAAGGCTGTCTATCTGACGAGTTTATATTCATGCTCAGATGCCAAGGAACTCAGAAAGTAAGCGACTGTGACCAGTAATAGTCATATATATAGAGATTAGAAATGCATGTGAAAACGTCTCA